TCTTATTATCAGGCATTTTCATTATTAATAATATTATTTGTCCATAATGTATGATAGAACTTCACTTACTAAAGTATAAAGTTTCTCTTTGTCGAATACAGTGAATAAAATTAATTAATTAATAAAGTTAAATGTAAATGTTTTCCTCTTTACCTTCTACTTCTTTCTCTTTGTGCAGTAAAATAAATGGAATTGGTGTAGTAGGGACCACCATTTATTCATTCAGTTCATGATCTACTGATTGACTGCAACTGTGATTAAATACTTCAAAAAAGTAGTAGTGTGCTTCCATTACATTTCGATGTATTTCTACCATCGCTCAATGATGCCAAGAATACCGGCGGTTTTGTTTTTTTCCTGCAAATTTCGACTTATTCATCCATGGACCTTTTTGGATTGATCATTCTTCAATTTACTTTTAATTTCATAAATATTGGATCTTTCGAATTTAAGCATATAGCCTTGCATGAGTAGCTTATGGATGGTTTACTTTAATTTTAGTAAACGTTATATCGACTTTTCAGTTCAGAAACTTTATCCATCTACAGTTTTATCCGGATTTCGCATTACTTTTTCTTGTTTCATTCCCCAATTTGAAATCATTTCTAGAACTTAATCTTCTGCAACATGATGATTGTAGAAACAAAGGAATGTCGCTTCTATATCATTCTAGATTAATCCAATTCCGGAAGATAATCAGATTTGGTTTCTCAGTTCAGTAATCTGATCATATATTTGTGGTGGTAGCTCATTGACGTTGGATAATATAAACAAATACAATATCTCATTAATTATAAATGCCATACTGATGAGGTCTATTTCTGAGGAAATAATCTGTGATTTGCATAAAAACTTTCAGAAAAAAAGAAGAAAACCAAAATTTTAAGTTTTCTTTCAAATTTAAAATTTTTTTTAAGGAATTCCAAGAGATCAATTTGTATTTTTCTCAATAAATTTGCAAAAATTTTCCAAATATGATTGACTGGTGAATAAAGTCTTTATTGTAGGTGTATAATATACGATCCCTCGATCCAACACCGCGAATAAACTTATGGATGGATGATACACCATCAACTAATATTTAACAGTATTTTGATCTCCTTAGCGATCCGCTTTTTTCCATTATGGCAGTGAAATTTTAGAACTAATTAGACTGTTATTATTAGTTATTATTAGAACAAATATCAGTCAATTTAAAATTATTTTTCAAAAATTGAGATTATCAGATTACAGATTAAACAAATGATGGTATTGTGGCTGGGATATCGACATTTGCAAGTATTTGCTTTACGTTTCTCATCAAATTTCGCTATAAATCTCTTAGAGAAGCCTATGAACTGATGATTCAAAGAGGATTACTTGTCAAGCCTAACATCAAATTTTGGCGTCAGCAAATGATTTTCGAATAAGTGTGCTACAAAATTGTATTTATTAAAAATTCTAAAAATTAACTGTTGAAGGATTAATATTTAATCCAAACATTCTGAATTTATAATTCTCACTTCCCTTTCTTTTCAACAACGAATATTTTCAGGGAGAAATTTTTCTAAAAAAAAGATGTTGAATAAAAGCTTTTCTTCAATTTTTACAGGAAATAAAAATTGGTATCGCATCGGTGAAACTTATTCAAAGTGGAGAAAATTCAGAAAATATCATTTCCGATATCTAAAATCCAGAAAGTATCATTTCCGATATCAATCTATCAGTGAGTGATTGACATTAAGAGTTGCATTTTGCTTGAAATTAAATTAAGTTTTTTCTGAAAATTTTACAAATAAATTCAGTTGCTTATTTTTCATTATTGCAAATAGCCACTGACTCACACGGCGGGTGGCTGTTTTCCAAAGATAAACTGAAATTTCAACTTATCTGGAAACAGTACCGGAAAGAACTCAAGCGGAAGCATAATTGTGCCTATTTCATTTCTCAAAACTTTATGCGTTTGAGGCATAAATTTTCGCATATATCAAATTTGCACTGTTGCGGAAAACTTTTTGAAAAATCAAAATTTATAATCCATTTTTGTTATCATATATTGTATTATTTCTACACAACCGTTCTAAATTGTAATTCGAACTTAAGCCCGAAGTAAGGCATGACAAATTCGGTAATTCCTTTGCTTATTTATTTCGGATGCATACAATTTTAGGGCCTTACAAATTGGTTAGATGAATTATTTGAGGTTTTATAAGCTAATTTCTCATACAAAAAATATTTCGTTAGAAGTAGCCTGAAATTAGCTTTGTGTTAAAAATTTTTATGGATACTTTTATGAATTTTTTTTAAATGACAAACTTGAAGTAGTCATATTCGTCAAAAATCATAGTTTATCTTAACTTTTACCACTTTATTTATGATTGATAGTCTGATATGACTTTATATACTATAACTTTTATTGAGCTTAAAAATTTAAATTATTGAATTCTGTTAGATATTGAATGATAAAAAAAGAATTGATGATAAAATCATGAATTGCAATGTTAAATACCAAATCTTCCTTGTGGTATTAAATTCAAGAAACTCTTGAAATAATATTAATTCCCGTCAAATATCAAATTGAAAATATCAAAGCATATTTGTAATTTAATAATTACTGTCTACGGAAAGTATAATAAATTTTATGTACGACATGAATCTCATACACATAATTATATTATCATTACCCTTTTAACATTTATCAATAAATATGATCAATTTGTGTTCCTTTACAAAATCTGATAAAAATTTAACATCGAAAATTGTGGTGAATTATAGTATTCTTTGGTAAAGTAAAAAAATGATGAATTGTTTTTTTATAATAAAATAATTGTTAAGTTAAGATTAGTGTTAGCTTATTGATATGAAATATTATTGCAATGAAAAGGAATGATAAAAAGAAGAAATTAAGTTATCAATAAAAAAAATCAAAAGTATACGGAAGAGATAAAGTTGAAAAGAAGAGATAAAGTTCCAAAATAGAAACAAGGACAAATATAAGGAAGATGAAGTAATGTAAATTTTATTTAAATTTGAGAGATAAAAGTTTTGTTCCCTCTTTCATTTTCATTGTTTTCTTCACAACAAAAACATAATACAATTTGATCTGTGATCTATTTTTCATTCAATTTTTGTTTACAATAATGGAAAACCGGTTATTTTCAGCATGCACCTTTTGCATTACAATCCGGAATTGAAGTACATTATGATATGATGGAACAAAAAATGTCGAAACAATACATTTAAATTCAATGTATATAAACTATTTATAACTATAAAATTAAGACCAATTAATTTGTCACATTTTGCCAAAGTCGACGAGATAGCGCCAGCTAGGTACTTCTTGTGATACTGAATGAATGTGTGTGTGTGTGTGTGTGTGTGTGTGTGTGTGTGTGTGTGTGTGTGTGTGTGTGTGTGTGAGTGAGGGAGAGAGAGAGAGAGAGAGCAGTGATAAGAAAGAAACATTGAAAATCATTTAACATTGATGGCGAAATGCAAATGGTTTACAATAGCAAATCTATTCCTAGTTAAATGTCATGTGAATTTTAGCGGAAAATTTAAAATGGAGGAGGTGATATATCAGATGATTTGCCGTTTAGACTGATAACTTCTTCCACTGAGTCTTTACTTTACCCAATTAAAAGTACAGTTAATGGAAAACGAACAATTTGAGGGATAATTTTAATTGATGAAATAGTTAATTACAAAACATTAATCAATTTGAAAGAGGCTGGTAGAAAATTTTTTTGTTTTAAAATGATGGACCAAAAATTCTTGATTCACTAACTTCTAAAGAAATTTGAAGTAATTGAAATAACTGCATTTTTTTTTAGTAATGTCAACAAAAGTGCATTCTCAGATATTTGAGGTTTAGCTTCTTTCTTTTCCTTACAGATATGATAATGAAAGAAATGATAAAATTCATTGAACACATTTGAGGGATACATATAAATATGATTTTTGTTTTTGTTGAATGATATATTCCTTTTATGTCTCATTAAAATATTATTTTTTAAAATTACTAGAAATTATTAGCAAAAAGTGAAAATGAAATATCATTACCGAATATGTATATATTTTGCATTGTAAACTATTTGTTGTGTACATCCCAATGGCAAATTGTATAAACAATAAATCATAACAAAATATTGCATTTATTAAAAATATGCATAAATGGGAATTTTTTTTGGTATGACTGATAAGCAAATATCAGTCTGTGATAATTCAAAAATTATTTAAGATAGCTTCTTGGCTTAATAATTTAATAGTAATAATTTTTTTAAATATGGAAATGTTAAAAATATAAAATCGTAGTGACACACACACACACACACACACATACACACACACACACACACACACATATACAACAATCAACGCATATTCTTTGCAGATAATAAATGACAAATTTTTGCTATTTACGGAACAATTTCAGGAAAACTTCAACAATTTTGATAGATTAAGAGAGATAAGATAAGAACCAAAATGTCTGATAACTCAATATTACGCATTTACTCAAAGCTCTTAGCTAATGTTTGCATGTAACATAGCATTGAAAAGCTCTTCTTTTTTCATATCTTTTCAACTTTATCAGTGAAGTGATAAAATGGAAAAAAATATAGCGAGCGGTGAACGAGCGATAGTGCAAGAATCGATTGATACGATAAATCAGAGCTTATCCGCCCCATCATCGCCTATTTCTGATGGCATCCCATCCTTAAGAACGGATGCTCAATGCATTCACGTGAACAACATCACTGCTATTGGGCGTATACCAAACCATTAGCACATGTTATGCACGTGAAATATCAATAGGACGCTTATAGTGGCTGCTTTTAGAAGAAAACAAAGTGCGCTGATGACATCGCTTCACAATACCTAATGCGCTTGCACTGTATCGTAGTATATGAAACATTACCGCCTGAAGTGGTGCTTTATTGATATGCTTGGGAAGGGACAGATTTAAATGTGTTTAAGATGGATTTTAGGTAGCATTTGTATTTATAAAAATATTCTCATTGTGAAATTAAAACAGTTTCGTTAAGATATATAAAAAATTCCAATTTGCAGCAAAATTTTCTCCCAATTCAGGATGTCACCGGTATCATTTAATGTAAATCCTGAATATGCACAAATTACGGAAATTGTTCGTGGCTTATTCATTTGTGGTGTGAGCTCATTAACAGCTGAGAACATGAAAAAATATGATATTTCATTTATTGTTAATGCTACCACAGAGGTTCGTTCATTTTGTTTATTCCCATTTAATTTATTTTATTTTGGATCAAATTGTTGAGAAGTTAAGAACGTTTTTCAGGTAGATTTAGTTTTAGGTACCAAATGTGCAATCATTGGGTAATATTCCGCGAGTGAAATTGTGGCTTGAAGATATGCCGGAAGCATCTATTTATCCACTAATCGATCAACAAGCTGATCAAGTAAACCATTTCCATTTAAAATTATTTTAACTGAATATTCCAACAGATATTTCAATCATATTATTCTATCATTACCATAAATTGTTAACCGTATTCATCTGTTATATTTTCTGTTCTAATCAGTTCTAAAATTCGCGAGTAAATTTTATTCGAAAATTAAATTAGTCTAAAATTACTTTATTTACTTTAAAATTCACGATTAAATTTTAGAGCAAATTTTATTCGATCCTATTTCTATAACATGCAAGATTGCAATAGTTTATTTCATTTGTAGAAAAAAAATTTATGGGAGTATTACATATTTGTTTGTTACAAATTACCATCATTTGAAATTTGGTGATAAGATGAATAAGGATGGCTGAAATATTGCAAAGGATTTCATATCACCATTTTGATAAGAACATTAAATTAGTGGTAAAGAATTTTTGCTGTGGATTGTTTCACGCAATAACAAAATCATTTGCGTTATAGTTTGGGTGTATGAAAATGAAAATAAAGAAGAAATGAATAAATACGAAGACAATTCTTTGCTGGCAATAAAATTTTAACAATTTAAAAGAAAAAATAAAATTCCTATTCCACTACAAAAACGTTCAATAATGAAAAATGGAAAAAATTAATCCTGTTAAAACTGAATTTTTTAAAAAAGAATGAATTTAAATTGAATAGAACAAAGTTCACAAACGATTTTACAGATTGAAGCAATGATAAAAAGTGGTGGTAATGTATTGGTGCATTGTGTGGCTGGAATATCACGATCTGCTACTATTTGCCTTGCATTTCTTACTAAATTCCGATGCAGATCACTCAGAGAGGCTTATAAATTGATGGCTGAAAAACGACCAGTTGTTAGGCCGAATATAGGATTCTGGCGACAACTTATTGTTTATGAACAGGTGAGACTAAATGAGCTCGTAAATCTATTTAGAATAATTTTATGACAATTGCTATTACACAGTGTGAAGATTATCTAAATACTGTTTTTAAATTTAAAAAATTTCTCCAACTATTTAAAAGTTATGATGCATTTTTTAGGATATCAAACGAAGTATAGGAACAGTTCAATTAATCAGAGATAAAATACACGCTGGTCAAATTATACCCGATGTTTATTTCGACGTTGGAATCAGAATTCAAAAATCATCATCTGCAGTAAATTTTTAAATTTAGGAAAGAAATTAAAATGTCTAATTGTCCTCATTTGCATGATGATTGCAAACAGATTTTTATTTTATAATACCACCCAATTTCTCTAAGCATTTATGAAATGTTCCGAATTCTCGACTGTAAATTTATTCAAAATTAGTGCATTTTGCCACAAATGAGTTTCATATTATTTAAAAGGAAAATCACTTCAAATAAAAAAAAATCATTTATAAGCAATATGAACGATAGTTAATGAAGCGATTGCTGTATAATTTTATTCAATGCTGCATTATATCCCTTTTCAATAGCAATTTTATTTGAATGAAAATATTCCATTATTACAGAGAGACGCTAATGAGGACGAAAATGGATATAGTTATGAGAAACAAAATCGACGTAATTCAGGTGGCAAATTGAAATTTCAGCCAGTATTGGAACCGGTTCTTGAATGTGTCGAAGTTATTTCATAGTTGTAATACCATTCATTAACTCTATTGTCGGAATTGTATAGTTTCTTTTATTCAATAATTCTTTTGGAGAACATTCCATTAGAGAATTGAACTTCGTATAAAAAATCTTGAAGATCCCTAAATGGTTACGGAAGCTTACTGTTCCGTATCAAAACATTTTTGCAAAGTTGAAAACAACATTATAACACAATTTTTTGTCTTCCATATTATAATATAATCTCAGTTTACTTTGTTGCATTTTTTTTCTTATTATTATTATTTAGACATTTGTTTGTCATTATCATCGCTAAAAAATATATGTAACGGGTCTTGCTTTAATAGCCAGTAGTACAGTAACTTCACATTTTTTTAAAGTTCCTCGATTTCTGTATCTTGAAGAGATGTTCAGGCAGATTTTATAGAAATATCAATCGTTTATCCGAAACGGAGAATATAACCAACAGTTTATGATTCCGCATCGACTTCCATTTATGTTAAATGAATTTTTAGGAGAGTATTAGAATTTCAAAGTTACTGCAAATTTATTTTATTTGTAGCGGTAAAATTGATAACAGCGAAGAAGTCATGATCAATAACTTCTTGTTGGAATCGATGAAAAATAACTTTCACTTCCATATCACTTCCAAATACTTCTAATTAATCCTCCGTGAAATCGATGAAATGTGCTTAGTGGATTACTATATTATCGAGCACGTGTGTTGGAAAACATATTACGAAATCGTTCGAATAAAATATCTACAGTTCTTACTTTAAATCATCATCAATACTTGTGAAATAATGCAGTACTTGATATTGCTGTAAGTTGGAAAACTAAATCAAATAGGATTTAACCATTACTAATATTATTTTGCCAAAGATCACAGATAAAAGACCAGAAATGTGCCTAACATCTACTCCCATAAAAATATCAAACAATACAGAAGCGTAAGTGCTTGTTAATAGGAAATCATTTACGTCCAAATAGCTTTATATATTTCTCATATATATATGTTATTTGATTTGTTACGTATTTTCTACTTGCAGGAAAATTGATCTCTTGTAGCTTGACAATGATGGTACACTGCAAGAAATAGGATATCAGTTCACAACATATGTAGATCAAAAAGTAATTTTTAAAAGCTTTCCAAATCTTAGTCAGGATACATTCTTACCACTATACTGTGATTTTTAGCATCACTGTGCCAAAAATTTCTTGTAGACAAAGTTTTGCTGCAAGTAATCAAAACAGAATGACCAATATTTAATTATGTCACAGGCTGCTGTTCTCAGCTCTTTCAATTCAAAGCTCTGGTCATAATAACTGACAAAAACGCTCTGTATTATTGAATCCATAGACTTCAATTTTCTGATGGTCTTTCCGGTGCAGAATTCATATAGCTTAAAACAGTAAAAATGATTGCCAAATGTTTAAATCTTTCAGCATGCCAATTGTTCCCATTTAGAATTTTCTATCAACTCAATAAAAATCGATTTATGTATGAATATTTAATAATGAATCTGGAAATTTGAGTCCATTGAACCATTAAGCAATCTTAGCGAATCTAGAACTTTAAGTGCTTTAATGGAAATTGACCAGCAAGGATTTTCTTTCAACAATAACAATGGATACAAACAAATGAGAAAATATTTCACGATTTTTAATTAGGTATCTTCCACCATAGTTCATCGCTTATGCAACTGCTTAAATGCCTTCGGTTTTTTCCTGTAGCCTGCTCCGCTTAGCTTTGATCTCACAAGTACCTAAATATTTCTCTTCACAATTTTCAGTTGCATTAAAATTACTAACGCCGACTTAGGTTCGACTTTACAAGTACCTAAATAAAACGTGATATTTGCTCTTCAAAACGATTCAATGACGGAATATGCATTTTCAGTTAGCGTTGAACTGTGCACAACTATTTCCACATATTCTGCATAAATGATACAATCTTTTCAGTTTCCAGAAATGTGAATTCGACCGTTGAGTACGGAAGTAATTTTCATGATCTTCGAACAAAACAAAATCAAAAAATCTTCGTCTAGCTTAAAACAAACAGCCAAAAATATTCGGCAAACATTTTTAGATGTGTACCGCGTCTTTTTATTCGCTAGTAATCAAAAACATCATTGAAAGTAAGAATTTAACTCAAAAAATAACATAATAAATGGTCTCACCTTGGGTTTATTTGATATTGGTAGATCGACGAAGGGAGGAGTGGAAAAACCGAATGATTTTGAAACGGCAATAAGATCCAATGTGTTAATGTCAAATATACTTTTTAAAGAATGTGAATCATATGCCCTTATGTAACATTTATAAGCTTCCTGAAAATATAAATCTGAGCAAAATATAAACCTGAAAATATAAATCATAGCACTTGAAAAAGCCAGTGTCCTTTGTTCTATGTTCCCAATAAAACAATCAAAAATTTGGGCTTTCTACTTGTCGAATTATTAACATAAGAAAGTGCAAAATGCTAACCTTAGCCGATTTATTCAAATAATAATTTTGTTCAATAAGTTTTTCTAGCTGCAGTTGTATATTTGCAACTTTGCTCCATGAAAATTCATATTCATTAAGCACAACTTTTGCATGCTTCAGGTAACGAAGAAAGCCAAGCTCTTCAGGACGCAATATTAACAGTGCATGACCAGTACCGGTAACACCACGAGCCGTACGCCCAACGCTGAAAAACAAATGTAACTGTCAGCGATAACCTCAATAAAACTTGAACATGCTATCGAAAAATGAGCTCTTATTGAATGTTTAGAAACTGAAGGTAGAAAAATAGATTTCAGTTAAATAAATTGGAAATACCAAATTATCATTTCGCTCGTTTCAAATTAAATCTTTTAAATTCCACAAAATCGAAGAAGAATGGCCAGATACACAGCTTTTCTGACATGCCTTATCATATTTTTTTCTTTAAGCGACAGAATATATAAGATTTAAAAGATGAACCGATGAATATATTCCCGTGGCTCATCTGGTGGGTCATATTGTACAATCCAATCAACCTGCGGTATGTCAAGTCCACGGGCAGCAACATCTGTGCAAAGCAAAATGCCTGATTTTGCTTGGCAAAATGAAAAGAATGTGCACGTTCGTTTCTGCTGTTTTTGCTTACCCTATAAGAAAAAAAGCTTATTGTTAGTGAATGCTACAAAATTCCTATTTACTAATATGATTAAAATGAAAATTAGTAATCTCTGAGGGATGGTTTTGTGTAGAAAACTTTCATTTTTACCTTATTAAAGAAATAAATAACAAAATGACATTACATGTATACACTGTACAGGGATATCGATATAATTCAACAATTCGTGATGATACTTCACTGAATTGCACGATGAAAAAAACACCATCACTTTCTTATCTCGATTCTTTTTCAAAAACGTAAAAAGCAGTAAAAATCGCTTTTCAGATGGACAAACAACATAACCCTGCAAAAAACTTTATATCTCTTGTAGAAAAAATATCTCTCTTGTGCTATTTGATCTTGACATCATAGATGCAACATTACGTTTTAAAACATGATAATATGTTATGTGATTCAGACTCTGAATCACATAACATATTATCATGTTTATAATTCAACAATTCGTGATGATACTTCACTGAATAATATGTTATGTGATTCAGACTCTGAATCACATAACATATTATTATGTTTTAAAACGCAACGTTTTTGAACCACGTGACAGCCCTTATATATCATGAAACAATATTTTCATATTTAAAATGATATAAAGAAGCTTGAAAATAGCGACCTGTTGCAGACCAGAAACTGTTGCTAATTCATTTCCATTTTTAAAGTTCATTTCACTGATGCCAATTTTTATAGGATCTGTATGGAGTGCGATTTTGATGAGCTCCTCAACCTAGATTTATTTATAATAATTAATGAGATCAGCAATTAAATTTGAGATGAAAAAAACCTATAATATTAAAAAAACATCTAAGACAAAATTAAAGTAATGCAGACTTTCGGTGTTTGTGTAGCTGAGAAAAACATCGTTTGACGTTTTTTTGGCAAAAGTCGTAGTATCTGCTGCATCTCGATTTCGAAACCAATATCCAATATACGATCTGCTTCATCGATGATCAGACATTTCAAATTTTTTACCATGAAGTCATCTGTATTCTGCATACAAAATGATATTTTTATGTCATATGAGAAAAGTGTATGACAAAATTGAAAAGTTTAAAGACATTAAAAAAACTTCATAGTTCAAATTAAACATCCAAGACGATATATCTTCATATAATGATCATTGGATAATTGTATTACCTGTAAATGATCCAGCAAACGACCAGGCGTTGAAACAAGGAAACTGACACCTCTGGATAATTTCTGTGCTTCTGTTTGTCGACTGGTACCACCCATTATTAAACCATGGGTTAAAGCCGGATGCTTCTCTAGAATTTCACTTAAAACTCCATATATCTGCATGGACAGTTCCCTGGAAAGTATATCAATGGAAAATCATGACTGAGAAAATACAACCTTAACTACTGCAAACTACTACAAAAATTTAACTTAACTACAAAAATTTATGATGTTTATTAAAATAAAGTCAGGAATACTAACAATTCTCAATTGTACGAGTTCAGTTTACCTAAAATATACTTTAAAAAGACATGTCACTATTTCAAAGTCTATAGTAGATCAAAATAAACCTTGTTGGCGAGATAACAATTACTCCTGTGCCATTACGTGCTTTCCACTCAAGTTTTACAAGCAACTCAACAGCTGGAATGAGAAATGCCAATGTTTTTCCACTTCCAGTTTTGGCTGATGCCAACACATCACGGCCCTGCAAATAATTATTTGAATTGGAGATACTTCTTCAGATTTAGAGTATTCATTGCCTCAACTGCTGTGTATAACATCTGCTCCTCAAATTACATAACTGCTACCAACAATGTACCATTATTCACGATTAATCTTCTGCGCATAAATGTATGTTTTAATTAACAGAAACACAACTATTTAATGATACAAATTACATAATTAATCAAATGATATTTTGGACGTATGACATTGACATTACCTGTAATAAAGGTTCAATACATTTTGCTTGTATTTCAGTCATTTTAGTAAAACCCATTTCAGCAACTGCGAGTAAAGTCGGCTTTGACAACATGCTTTCAAGAGATGCAAATGTGGTTGATGATAGATATGAAACAACATCAGTAGACGAAGTGTGTTCAGCTTCTGAATTTTCAACAGGTTGTGACTCCTCATTCTAGAAATAACAGTCTATGTAAGCTTTGAAACAGTACATAAAGTGAGAAGGAAATTTAATAAACGAAACTTTTCGTCACAAGCACATGTAAATAAAAAAGAAATAATAGAAATTGAATAGCGATTAATAACACAATTCAAAAGAATGATAAACTTGATTAAAAAGAAAAAAAAAATGATATGATGAGGAAGAAAGAGCAACTCATACGACTAGACTGAATTATATGACATTAAACCTGAATCAAATTTTGTTAAACTGTTTTTGTTAGACGTTTACAGAACAGAATGGAAACAGTTCGACGGTTGCGGGAAAATAAAAAACAAACTAACCAGCCCTTTCTCTATTGCTAATCCATCTTTATCAATTTTTGACATTTTTGGCTTTGCCGCATCCAGAAGTTTCTTAAGCTTACGCTTAAAAACATGTTTCTCCACATTCATCACAATTCTTTCTGAAAACTTTATTAAATGTACATGTGCAAAACAAATGAGATAACGCACCAACAAACGACGTGAAAATGATGTGCAAACTCGTACAAAAACAAAATACAAAACAACCAAATAAGTGGATTACTGAGATGCCATAAGTAAGCAAATCAAATTGTAAACATTCCAATCCACCTAGTGCCTTATCGCAATTTTACGATGAATGGAGCAATCATCAAATCAAAATTAGATAGTGATTAGAAAACTTGATAAATCATTATTTTCGTAAATAATCTAGTCACGGAAAATATAATGAAAATATAAAAATATAAAAAAATTTCATCATCGCAGCATCCCTCGAGTGAGTTCACGCTATGGAAGAAACTGATTTTATTTTTTAAAAAATGTTTTTACTAACAAATTTCACAGCAAAAAATCAAAATTGTAGTGCGTTATTTAGAGTGAGACTGAGAATCTACGAGACTGGCTAAGTTCACTAAAACTTGCAAACAACTGCCGCACTTCTCTTAACTCCTGAGTCTAAGCTTCACTACTCCCGCACAATTTTATTAAAAATCAAGTACTCCAAGACAAAAAATCATATATCGACAATAACATATATATCAGCCTTATCCGAAGATTCGTTAACCTGCATATTGGAATAAGTGATTGCTTTAATTTCGGTTCCCTGTGGATGCTTGCTTAGATCGAACGATTCACCCCAACACCGTACTTGCACTTTCCATTTTTCACGATCGAGTTTAATCACTTTTGCAACCCTACCAATGAAGAATGGTTCTGTTGAGAAAGCAAAGAGCGCTTCATCTAACAACCGAGCCATCAATGAGACCATATCAATACCGCTGGCAAACAAATCAAATGAATATTCCGCGGACACCATTGAAATTTCAGTCATATAGGCATACATAGAGATTAATGTCTGCTCCATGGCCTCTTCCAAAGTATTACCCCAACCATGCAGCTGAATATCCGCAGTGTGATCAAGATATTCATACTTAACTGGTGCCGTTACTGGTGTATCCATCATTTGATAAATCGAAAAATAAAAATGTATTTAGTTGGACTGCTTGTGATTATTTGGTAACCACAAAAAAATAGCACATTTTAAACGAAATCACCTCAATTTTTCTTAAAGTAATTCAATCAAAACCAAAATCACTGAAAATGAAATGCCAACTCAAATAACAAGACCTTATTTCCAGCGAAAAATATCTATATGCAAAACAATGAAACGTACAAGTTCCACCACAATAATAAGTGATTTATACGTCAAATGTAGATATGTACAGTAAATTAATGCATTGTTAGCAACTGTAGACTAACATGTAATTGTTGATATTTACAGAATTTGACACATATCGAGTCACAGGTGAGTTGAAAAAATGATACAGAGTGAAACAACATGAACACTTAATATAAAAAAGTATTAAAAAGAATTGAATTCGGTGATTTTTAAAGAAAATACACAAAATAAAAAATAAGACAAAATAATTAAATGCATTGACAAGTACAAAACTAGAACATGCTGAGAATTTTGAAGTCGTACATGATACAACAGGAATAATACCGCTTTATACGAGTACAAAGCTTTTGAAGCCATTTCAAAATTTTCAAAATTGCTGAAATCATAAAACATAAAAACAGTAGAAACAATGAGGATATGTATCATATTAAGCTAGAAAATATGCACACCGTATTTGATCGCTATTCACAGGCAAAGACAAAAATTATTATATATCTACACCCCATAATTCTTCCGCTGACCGATTCTGAGCAGTATCAGCTCGGAATGCACGACATGACATAAAGAGAATGCGTTTTAGAGATTTATTGTGAAAGAAGTATGCAAATGACCACATCACCAAGTCTTCACAGTACGGATCGCCAGTGTATCCTGTTCGGTAACTGTAAAAACATTACTGCATCTTTTACTAATGTTTTTTCTTTTACTAATTTTACTAAGTGCTCTGCCATTCTTACGGAAAGATGAAATGTGCAAAACCCTTTCCTTGTTGAAAGATTTGAAAATTTTATTAAAATCCTATACTTAAAAAATAATAAAAAGTCTATTTATATCACATTATCAAAAGTATGCCTAAGGGAAGGACTTCGAATTTTTAACTCTATTTGTTGTGATATCTTTTGTATTTCTATTTTTTTATACTAGCGATGCTATTGGTTAGTGGTACTACTCCATCTTAATACGGTCGTTTATGACTTCATCCATTCAACAAGCATGAGTCATTTTATATCATATATTCATAAGAAATACCTGTACAATTTACAATCATTAATTTTGATGACTTGATCGACTCTTTCCCACAGTGCTCTTTTAATCTCATAATAATTTGTTACCGTAGCAGAAAGTTTTGAATCAACCAAACCGGCTAATGTCTGTAAGTACGATTCCGTATATAATCATATATAATTTCAAGGTAAGGAATTACAATTTTAATTTGACTTAAGGATTTCTGAGAAAGAAATACTGACGGCTAATTAAAAAATATATAAGAAAAATATACATCTGCTTTCCAGTGCTTTCTTCCCAAACAAAGAAATAAGACTGTGGAACAATGAGATGAAATATTAATTTCCAAACAAAAATAAGGCCATGAAACAATGAGGTGAAACGTTATCTATGCTACAAAAAAACTTCATCTCCATAGTTTCCTAGACAAATATGATTTCCAAAAATGTTGTGTGAAAACTAACTTCAAAATTAGGAAGAAGAGAGAATGCTTCGCTCTTTGTAGAAGAAAAATCATAATCTTGAAATGATGCGTTCATTACCGACCTCAATTCAAAAAGGGTTCGAGAGGAAATCGCGTCTGCATATACCAAACCATTCTGAAGATTATACTAACAAAAATAAGCTTAAAAACAAATAAAGCGATAGTCTATAAATGAAGACATATTATAAAATATAATATCTTACTTCTTCGATACTAATATTTAAACTGGAACAACCAGGTTCTGAATAATGGCGTAAACGCGGATCCTGCGTCCATGATAGAAGCCATGGTAATTTCTCTGGTGGTGAAAGCGGTTGCGGAGTATTACTGCCATTTTTCTGACTTCTCTTCCACTGTTTCTTGTCGGATGTTATCATTTTGCAAGAGTATGCTTCCAGCCTACCAAATGCGCACCATATATGATCATAAAAAGTAAATGCCTCAACCACTTCATCCAGTTAGAAACAACACTGAGATATAAGAGTTGCTTGCCAGCATTCTAACAACTTCATTGTAGCAATATCCTTGAAGCAGAGTATATATCTAAATATGCTAACCCAGTAGCAGTACATCCACCATAATATTAACAAAAACTTGTCAAATTTGCAGCGATTTGAGCCCTTCAAACAGAAACAAAGTATAACAGTTGGCTATTACTATGTACTAATATGTACTAACTGTCAAGTTCTGAAACTAAAGGAACCGCATTACGAAATGAACCTTTTTTTTAAAGGAAAAGAGCAACGTCCCTTTGTCAATTCGACTTCCTTAACAAACAATTAACGACAAACCTCACATCAATGCAACAATCCTTTGCATGCTCTCCAAACGTGTATGACAGTTGTTCTAGCTCCACATTTTCTAATAACTTCATTGAGACTGTATCCCTGAAAGCAGAGTGTATATCTAAATACGCTTCATTATCAGATCTTACGTGAACAATATCTCGTTTGCGAATGATATGATATTTCCTAAAAAGATTTGTATTAAACAAAATGATAATGGTACGTGCAATATTACATGATCGATGTAACGCAGCATTGACACGCGAACTGCCAAGATCCTTGATCAATGATCGCAACTGGCTAATGTCCATTAGCGCTCGTGTTATGTGAGGAACTTCGAGAAGCCTAGACAGAAAAGACACTTCGCTTTTGGAGAAATAGGAAAAGAGTAATTGTTACGAATGAACGCGAAGAAGAGAGAGGGTGAAAGCGAGCAGACAGCTTGGAAAGCATGTTTTAGCGGGAGAGGTTAGTTTTGAATATAGTTAAGAAGAGCGGATATTTGGTATCAGCGGCAAATCTGGGATCTCGTGATGGGTTTTATAAGATAGAAATGTACAGCAAGTCTGTTTGAAAGTTGATAGATTTAATTTTTAGAGACAAAAATCCTTTAGTCGCTATTTATTGATAAGGAGATGCGAATGGAGTTTGAAGAGCTTTACATTTGAACACTCTGGCTGTACTGTTCGGACGAATTCATAGCTTCTGCTCAGTTTTAGAATATTTGTACACTTTTCTGGACTTTCTCAGTGTATAGAATTGCTTAACATTAACCAGAACTAAGGACCCTAGTTCGGACTTCAATCCTACTATATTTTAGTACTATTGAATAATTTAGTTGACTTTTTATTACGGTTACCTATTTAATAGGGCGATTAAAACAAATTACTTGGATTCAAATCATAATTTCTCTATTGAGAACATATCTGTAAGCTCAATAAGTGTATCCAAATATGTCTTTGTAAAAAGGACCGAATGATTGCATTGATTCAATACATGATTTAGTAAGTTTGTAATTTATAAAAAATCCATATGGTTTCAGCTGGTTTATAGCAATGTCCTTATCTGGTAATCAAGACGATGGCAATAAAAACCATATTGTAAGTTAACTTCTTAGTTTGAATGAAATGTACTGATTACCCTGCTAAACTTCATGGCTCTGATCATTGCGAAGAATCAATAAAAAGTTTAGTTGCAAATATCTGCTGCAACTGTTGAGCTCAGTTTTCTCATCATTGAAATTGTTTAATTTGGTTGTATGAAGAATTTTGCTAGACTCGCTTGGTTTGAGCAATTTGAATTTTAGATAATTCTACTCCTTCTTTGTTGGTTTTTAAAATTCTTTTTAGATACCAGGAAATAGTATTTAAAATGAATTAAAAAAGGTGTTGAAATATATGGAGAAATTTGGCACATTCAAACTGGATTCATCAAATAATAATTGACATGGTTAATGAACTAATTGCGATAAATCTGAATAAGCTTTTTGTCAATAAACATCTTTTAGAAGAGGCAAAGCATTGACAGTCCGCTAGCAGTGATGTCTCCATCTGTCCGTCCCCGGTCCACAAAATTGGTTTGTTCATTTTACTACTGTTCAAAGCGTAAAAGTTCTTGTTATTCGATCAATTGTTTGTTAGCATTTCTTGTCATTCTTGCAGTCTCGTTTGTCAAAAACTCCCTTAGGACCGAAATTTGCTAATGTCAATCAAGTTGATCCCAATATCGATGCTACTCTTCTGGAGACGTGTTCTATCGAGGTTTGTCACAAAATCTTGTAGCGACATCATGTTTTACTTTTTTCATTTACCTCCAGGTGAAATTTGGACTGATTTAATGGTACATTATAGAGAGCAAAGTTCCAGCAATAATGAATTATTCTGATTCAAATATAGAACAGTTTTTAGTGGAACAGATCTTGCAGTTCGAGGAAACTGTAGTTCATTTTTTCTGTTGATACTTTTACTATTTTTGAAAGCCAGTTTCTGTACTTGGTTTTTATTGATTCCTTTTGTCCTCTACAATTCTTATCATAGCGATTTATTAGATCCAAAAGTATGCTTACAATCTTTTGACATATTACCTCATTTCGAGATTTCTTCTTCATAAATAGGATTATTCAGAAAGAAACATTGGCTGAACGGAGCATTGAATCAGAGTGCGATGACGTTGCAAATATTACCGCCATGACATCATCGTCAGTGGATGCTGCTTTGGTAGGGAATGTTGTTATGTTTAACATTCTAGATTCAGAAGTTTTATTAGCCAGAGCCAAAATTAATAACTTTTTATGCAATATTTTTTGTTGTGTTTTCTCTTTTAAATATGTTTTAGAGTCCTGGAATGTCTAACGAAATGAAATTAGCAATAAAAACATATTTGAAATCCACTTCGATGTATCCTATCAGCTCATTGGAATCAAAACCTGAACACTTGAATGTTGTTGACGTAAGTTAGAATTAATTTCCGTAAGATTAATTATGAAATTTAATGTAAGTCTTCGTTACTCTGCTTCCGCGATTTCAATTGCAATCATCATAAATTTTATTTATGGTGTTATGATAGCTTCCATTCTTCAGAGTGTTACGGAAGTTGAGAAAAATGAAAATAATGAAGAATTGGACATCAGCGTTTCTACATGTAGCTCACAAGAAAGAACCGTAGACAACAATTCTAAGGATTCTGTCAAAGTAGATCAATCTTCGCTGGACTCAGAATTTTCTACCCGAATGAATGAGACTAATTCTTGTTGTGAAATTTCATGTGGGACTACAAGAATGAACGATATCGTTGAAACCTCGTTTACTGAAGTACGAGATTCTCCAGTTCTGAAAATCGAAAATGCGAAAGTTGTCCTTTCAACTCAAGTTGGTGAGAGACTGAGATCTCCAGATATGCCAGGAGATTTAACGTTGTCGGCGCGCAAAAATAGGGTTTTTGCAACTAGGAATTCAAAATTGGATAACCTATCTTCACCACGAGAGCTGGCGAGCTACGCTGAAGAACGGGCACAAAATTATTCGTTCCTCATTAATGAAGCCTACTGCGAAACGTCAGTGTTCTGTGAGAATTGTTACTCTATGCGCATCGAATTGGGACTTTTTTCGGATAAGTTTGCAGCATTGGCAGCTACTATTGGAGGTCCAACTCCAGGAGGCAATACTGCTTTTGTTGCCGAACTGGAAAACTTACTAAGAGGAAAACAAGAAGAAATTGTAACATTGTCATCGAAGCTGGCAGATTTAACTCAGACAAATGTAAGATTAGCTTTTTGAAATATTTTTTCCCGATAACTGCTGCTGATTTTGAAATGGCGAAATTATGTTGTTGCGATTGGGGGTTTTTTTGTAGGATCAATTAAACAGACAAAACGAAATTGCCGAAAAGGATGCTGAGGATTACAGATTCTTCTTCAAGAATGAAATGAAAAAAAAATTGGAAGAAATAGGCATGCTGCGGAGTAAGGTCGAAACTTTCCGCTACATTTTTTTTTCAAGTTCCGTAAAAGTAATTTTAAGTGATTATTGTGCAGAAATTTGTATTTCCAAAAAATTCGTCCGAACATTATGTATCATGGACTGTGAATCAATATATATCAAATATGCTTTTTAGTTGTACGAAGCTGAAGATCTGATAGATGAGTTGAAGCAAACAAAGCCAATGCAGTCTTCTGATGAAGACACTTCACAGGCTGAGGTTGAACTTGATATATCTTCAGTTGAGATCAAAAATAATTGAACTGTTATAAATTTACTTTGGTTCATTTGAGTTTTTGATCTTTTGAAGTTATCTTGCATGTATAATTAATCCCTCTATGTCTTAATTATATCAATATCTTACTTCTTGCGTTAAGGGATATCAGATAGAAGTTCGGATTAAAATTATGGAGCAGCAGCTTGATACAGCACATTCTTTGCATCAGGAAGCTCAGCAAAGAATAAAAGAACTTGAAAGCGAACTACAAAGAGTTGTAGAAGATAAAAATCAGCTCTCACTAAAACTTCAAGAAGCTTTAATCAATTTGGAAAATAGGAGTAATCGGACGATATTAAATGAAAGCAAGCACGTTTCAATTATATCCCTATTGGAAGCCAAGGTTGCAGAACTTGGGAATAAAATCGATGAGGCTCTTCGTGTAAAAGAAAATGAATCCGTGAAACAAAATTCATATTTATTTAAAAAATTGGCATTGCTAGTGGAGAAAATTAGGTCTGATGTGAAAAGCAATGTGTTCGCTGGCGAATGGAAAGCAGATGATGTAGAAATTTCCATTACCTATTTTGAAAAAGCTGTAAACATTATTTGTCAAGATATTCCTCAGTTTGAAACATTGGTCGAGACAGTAGCTCTACACGAAAAACTGGCTAGAAATGAGTTAAAACAGGTATTTTATAACATAAATGGATAGTAAAGTCAAGATTTAACTCTGAGAAAATTACTTTAATTTTTTTTTAAATCAAAAATTTTCAGTTAAAAGCGACGATGGAAGAAGTGGTAGAAGAAAAAAACAAATGGGAAATGTTATTTACGAATGAGAAATCAAGGCTTGATAATTTGCAAGAAATGATACTGGCTCAGTTTTATGAAAATAAGGACTGTTTCTCAAATTTATTGCAGGTTGATCTTTTTTCTAATGTTGGAATTTTTATGCTTTAGAGTTCTTTGAAACCCATACAAGCTTTGGTTATTCTTTCTAGGATTTCCAAAACAAGTGGGCAGATACATTATATTCGTTGACAGAGCTTGTCAAATCGAAATCTGAGGAAAATCGAAATTGTGCCATGCTGGAAATGCTGCACCACATAGCAGACCTTCAGGAGGTAAACTTTGTTGGATGTCGTTTTAATTTAAATAGTACATTTATCATGATATTATATTCATGTCGTATTTCAGAAATTGAATGAAAAGTGGTTGATGGATTTGAGTGAGTTGCAGAAATGCAACACTTGTTTGAAAGAACAGCATTTGATTATAACCTCATTTCAAGCAGAAATTCAAGAAATTAGGAATAAAATTGGGATGCTGCATGATTCTATAGAGGAAGGTTTAAAAAATTCGAGTGCATTGCTGGATAGCTTGCAAAGTCGAGAAGCTAACCATGAAAGTCTAATGGATTCTATCAAAAAGCAACTAGGACATTATGAAAAAGAAAAAGATGTTTTCAAGGAAATATGCGAACATAGTGAAGAAGTGATGCATGTTTGTTTTTTGAGAAATCTTGAATTTATACATTGATTCTGCTGACAGCTACCTTTTTGTTTCGCTCTGAAGTCAAATTCTGTTGATTCTAGGATCTAAAAATGACGGTTGAGCATTTGCAAAAAGTTGAGGAGGATATAAGATGTCAAAACACGGCCCTGTGTAAGAACTTGGATTTCGGAGGTGAAAATTTTGCTCAAGTAATTCATATGACTGAAAATTTGACAAAGGAAAAAGATAAATTGGAAAACGAAAATGCGACACTCAGGAATACGGTTTTAAAACTGACAAAAGAAAACACGGATTTAAAAGAGGTAATGCTTTAGATGCATAAATCGATACATAAAATATATAACCTATTCAGAAAGAATTACCTATGCCATTTTAGCAATTTTAAGCGCTAATTCCCAGTCTGCTTTGATGGTAGTGTGGAAAATGGGTTGCTGTCCTATCGTCCTATCTTGCGCTAATATGTTGTTCTTAGCATCATAGAAAATAGGGTAATATATTGCAACCGCCCCCTGCTTTCGTTCATACCATCAGATAATACTGGTAGTGAATACTTTCCTTTAACATTTTCAAGTTAAATTTATTTTCGGTTCCTTCGAAAGCTTCTTATAGATGGAAAAAATGTTGGCTCAACGAGACAAAAAAGCCGAAGAGCTGCAACATAGATTGAACCTTTTACAAAAGGAGAACGAACGACTAGGAAAAGCTTGCGATGATGCGGATGAAGAAGTCAGCGATTTCAAACAACAGATATTTGAATTATTGCGTGTTAATGCCAAACTTCAAGCTGAGATGGTTTGTTTTAGTGATAAGAAAATGAAAACTTTTTTCTTTGTGTTTTGCTTTACTAATTCCTTTCTGCTTTGTACATGGAAATAGTAATTCCTAAAAGATAATTTTACTTAATTTCAAACTTTAAAAGACCAGGTGTCATCTGACAGTAAATTCTTTATGAGTCAGCATTGTACTACTTCGAAATTCATTGTGAACATGGACTTTACTGAACTTTATGTCTAAATGTCTTTACTGAACTATAAATCACGCCGCAGCAGGCAGCAACGTTGTCTCACTTGTATCTGAGCAGTTCTATATCCCTGTTCATCATTCTTTAACATCGAAATCTTTCTTTACAGAGTTCACTTTCATTATTTTCTTTTTCTGATAACTGTAATGTTAGTTACCATGTTTAGCACGGAGAAAGTGAAGAAGCTGTAAATCGTATAATGGGTTATATTGAACCACCACCAATTCGACCCACAATTTTTCCTTCGGCTCATGGAACTGCATCAGGATCATTCCTTTCACCAAGCGCAAAAACAGAGGGTGTAATGGAAAGTCCTCTGAAATGTTGATTCTTACATGATTTTTTTTCATTAGCTGTTATTTTATGAACATCATTAATTCAGCAACAATATTAAGATCATATCATTTTATTTCTATAAATCAGGATTATAGATTCATGTCATAAATTTGCATTTGATGCGGTTTCATTTCAGTTTTATTTTAAAGTTTTTGCAAGCCATTTTGAAATATTGAAATGAGCGATTTGCAGCAAAACCGGATGTGAAGATTGAGGACGTGGTAACAGAGAAAACAGAAGTAAAAGAAAGAAATGGGATACAGAGATTAGCGGAGAAAGAAAATGTATTAATAGAAACTGCAAAAGCTCAAGCCAAAAGGATACCTGCTGAAGAATCACAAAAATCGAAGAAAACTCGAGATCAGTCATGCCGCACCTCATGATATGACTTTATATAAAATTAAATTAATTTTGCGCAGGCTCTGCAGTCATTCCTTTCACGAGTTAATTATGATCAAAAAATTAACTGTAAATATGTAGGTAGAGGCAACTGTTGAATTTTTTCCTGTAGAGTCTGGGCATTAGTTTTTTTTTTATTTCTTAACTTTCAATTACTTTGATGACTTATATCTCTACACATTTTTAACATTCCTGTTTATTTCTGAACTTATATACACATCATCTAAAAGTTTCATGTACTGTTACGATATTTATCTTTGTTTTTCATATTGTTTTGAGCACACATCCTAGTGAAAGGTTGTTTGAGACTTATTTTTTCTGATGCGGTTAATTTCATAGTATCTGTATTGAGTTAATTCTAAATGGAAGTTTATTGATAGTCTAATCTATTTCTTGAGTGTTTTTTAGCTAGCACTGGATTAAATATATCAGTATTATTACTTTCAAGACGAATAAAAGCTTTCAAGAAATAACCTAGACTCGTCAAAAAGATCGACATCGATGGCCTTCAACACATTTTTATTTCAGTTGTTTCTATTATTTTTTAAAATTTTGAGAAAATTTTTGAGGTGCTCAATTTTGGCAGTGTTTCTACTCTATTTTTGGCTGACAATAATGGAGATGAATGTGTCAAGGAAAAAAGAAAGTTTTTTTATGCTAATTTCGAAATTTTGCTACACATTCAAACAAGGGGATCAAATGAATATTGTTGCGTAAGTTGTAGGAAACACTGATCATGATGTTTTGAGAACCATGATGTGATAGTGTCTGCTGTATCTCTACTGAAGTAATTGTATTTATTGACCAGTACAATTATTATTTACCTGTTCACTGAATTAAGTGACATGCATCCCAATAGAAAACATGTCAAATATTGAGTAGGAGATAAATATTGAAGATGAATTGGCTAATTACATATGGGAGAAATTTGACATCGTATGTTTTATGTTATTTCATGAAAGATGAGGAAGGGAGTTCTTTCTACCTCATTGTGAAAAAGAACTGAGGTTGAAAGATTATTTTGAGGTCAATAAAATGTGTTATATAAACTGAAAGATTAGTAGAGTTACATATCCTGTTTATGGATGGATCTTCTGCAATAAGACATCATTTGTGTTGGCATATTCATTGTCACTATCTACTGATTTTCGACATACCTGTAACGAAGAAAATGCAACCTAGAATGATTGATCTTTCATAAAATTATTGAGTGAATTATGTTCAGAGTTAGGCTGGTACACTAATTATGCATTTCTAACTGAACTTATTATTCATTTATGAATTTTTAATGCACTCGTTGAATTTCTAACAGTGATGTTGCGATTACATAAACGTGTCATAATATATTAATTATTGTATGATAACTTCTGTTAGGATGATGTGTTATGCTGCTTACATCGTTGACAAAGAAAAGCTATGTTCGTGTACTCTTCCTTTAGCTCTCATGGAAAGACTTGCTTATCATAAATGAGAAAATTGCGATATTTTTATAATAGACATCGAAAAGACAGAGAGAGTCCGAGTGTTTGCATAAATTTGTTAACAGTGTCAGGCATTAACTGTTGTGATATTTTGAGGCTTCTTTTTCCTCTGAGCCAATCCTTCAAGAATCTTCCAATTAATTTTTCTTCATCTTTTCACAAATTGTTTTAAATCTTCAAATCAGAGAGTGGCAAACGGAATTTCTTCGAACAAGAAATTGATATAGCTATAATTATAACATTAACATTCTTTATTATAATTTAGAGGTAATAGAATACAACAGGAATGAATTTGAATTTCTGACATAATATATTAAAAGTTGAAGTTAAAATTGGAACTGAAAAGGTGGGAAGTGCTATCTGCTACTTATAATTTAAAAACCTTGAAAAAATGGACGGGCGTAATTGTTATAGCATATGAGTATGAAAAAGAAAACCCAATAAATGTTAGTTTAAAACATTATGCTAAAGTGCAAAAATTACACCTAATTAGCTTACACTTAATTAGCTGAACAGAATGAAAAATTAAGCGAAAATATTAAAGCATTAAAAGAATTTGTAGAAATTCCATTCATCTATTTATAAAAATAAATTTGCATAGGGACATTTTTGCTCTCAAAAGATAAAATGCCTTCAGGAAAATGATAATTGATGCCTAAAATATTTATCATTACTTTTGATTATTATCAGTGATATTCACTACGATTCTTGTAATTACATTAATAGTAAATGATTGGAATAACTACTGCGCTTCTGACAAGTTTTTATGTTTTTTCAGCATAACATTTATAACAAGTCATATTTATGTCCCATATTTTTATATTTCCGCAAACAACATTGTTGAAATTTTCTTTTTAGCAACGAAATGTCTTTTCATTCATCAATATTGGCGATACTTAGAAACAATGAGATTTCACACATAATCGAAATATGATGACCTGATAAATGATAAATTTGATCATTCTCATCCGTGAATAGATCTAGCCTCTTTGCTCCCAATAAGATTAAGATTACATTCAGCATGTTTATCCTTTAGAGAACTATTAGCAATTTCATAAATTGCTGATAGCTCATAAAAATGCTTTTTAAAGTGAATTTTCTAAATGGCATCATTTTTTCGACTTTATTTTCAATTCAAACGAATTAAAAAATTAAATGGATTATTTGAAGTTATTAGCAAATTGTCATTTTTAGTATTCGTAGCTAGTATTGGCTGAAATAAAGGTTGCATATATTTTTGATAAATGAGCAAAATGAAGTTTAAGAATTAGAAATTAGTATGAACTAAACATCGAAGTAATTTGTATAAGTCATAAATGAACACATTCAAAAATTATATTCGATTAGAAAGTAATTACAATTTCATTTCCAATTTAATTCTCTTGTAATTTTTGCAGGTAAATTATTACATTATACACTCTGATAATATTAAATTAATGCAAAAAAGTGGTATTTAATATGTTAATCGTTGAATAAATTTTGTTTGTTACTTTTAATGCAAAATGCTTCTTACGATAGTTGAAAAGATAGGATGTGTGTAGTTGTAGCAGAGTGCAATTGATCTTTCTCTAAAAATTTAGTTTCAATGGTAAACAAAGTCATAGGACGAATATTTTTCAAATGATCACAATTTTAATTCCGATTGATTATTTTTGAGAAATGATCTGATAAAGACTATGCAGATAAGAAACTATGCGATATTTCTTTTGCTCAATTAGAAATTTGAACAGAAATGTTATTTGCTTCTGATCCTTTGAATGAATAATAGATTATTTTACCGTAATCAAATATTAATTTTGTAATTTTCAGTTTTAAAATTCCCAACCGTTTGAAAATGGATAAGATTAGCTGACTAATGTCTCTTTCAAAATTCAAAGAATATAAAGACTACAAATTTTCCGCAACCTTTAGTGGGTAATGATAGCTAACTTGGCAATGGGATGAGCGCAACGTTTTGTCCCATTAATATTTACATTGTTGCCTTCCGCGGAAATAGTCTATAAAATATAATACAAAAGGAAAATTGCATTTTTGTTTATGAATAAACAAAGGAAATAACTTTTGAATATTTAGAGCTAAAACACTGTCAGTCTTTAAAGAGAAGGAAATTTTCTGTAGTAAAAACCAATAATATGTGATAAAGTCTGCTACCAGAGAATGAAAATATTCAACGATCAAAATTTAATGATTAATGCAAGAAAACTTCTTTAATCTCTAAAAAATGGGGTAAATGGATATATTGAATAAATGGTCAATGAATGACCACAACAAACTGCGAGGAAAGATTGTGATTTGCTTATAATTATGAAATTCTTTTCGATGAAAAAGAAAAACCTTACCGTTTATTGTTACTTTCGTACATAAGATATTATGAATTAATCATGCCCAATTCTTCTGTTATATTTTAAAATTTTAAGCTATCATTTACAAAAATTTTTAAGCTATCATTTACAATTAATTTCTTGTCATGGATTTATTTTCTATAACAGCTATTTACAAAATGGAATTGATTTGAATTACAAAAAGAGATTGTAAATGCAAGTAGCTGTTAGAAAAAGGTAAATGAAACAGACTGCCACTTTCTTCCGAAATGCCATAAATCGGATATATATTTTTCCGATATGTTAATCAAAGATTGTTTAACTGGAATACTCTCTTAACTTCTCAATCATTCTCTTTTTAAAACTATATGGCAATTTAACCGAATGGATTCAATACCCATTGAAAATAATATATTACTCTTTCTGAGGGAGATTCGCAACTTTTTTAGATGAATCTGAGAATTTTTCGTTCAGAATATTTAGTTTTAAGTATATTATAGCTACAATGTTATCTTAACCTACAATTTTGAATGAAAAATTAAATTGCATTTCTTGCAAAATTTACATTTTCAAAATAAATTTTTAAAGAAAGTTAATTTAGTTTGGTAGGAATGGATAATTTGAAATGTGTATTAAATTTATTGAAATAAAATTCTTTTTTTCATTTCTCATTATATAATAATTATCACTGCGCCTAAAGAAACATTTAAAAAGCCTAATTTTAAGCTACAATAGCATCTGAATTTGAAATAACGTAAGAAGCGAAAAAAGCTTACAGTTCTTTTGTCTTAATTAAGTAAAACTGAAACATACTTCAAAATTTCAGGGAATGTTTCGAAGTCAAGAAAAATGTATCAAAGAATAGGACAATAGTACGGGAAGGATTATTACATTTACATATTATAAACTTTGGTTCCCTGTCTTCTTTTATTTTGACACTTATTTGAAGTGAAATGTTGAAGTATAATACACTACATGAAAAGATCTCTTTTTGTGCAGAAGCAGAAAATTTTAAATGATGCGATCATTATGATCGCTTGTTTGCTTGCATTGATACGCAATAATTGATTTTTCGCGGCAGTTCGATCAGAAAAGATACAAATTCATACTTTTTGATTGAGTTGATCACATGTTGGAATTGTCTTTCTTTGATAACAGCCTGTTGTTTCACGCAACAAGTTGTTATAAGATTTCCTGGAAGCATCGATTGCAACGATTTGATCGATCGAATGAGATTTTCAATTACGTGCTGCAAATTGCTAGATATTAGTAAGAGCTGAGAAGTGATTGGGAAGTAAATTGACGTATAAGAGAATTAATTTTGACTTAGGAAATAATAAACAATTCAACGCTGATGGCACTGTAAATTGGCTTACTAAAGAAGAAACCAGTTGTTGAGCTGTTCGGTCAATAGATTATATCATCATATATATATATATATATATATATGTTCGATACCTGTTGCTCTTACATGATAAAAGATCCGGGTAACTCCACAATAACTATCATTATTGCTCTATTCTTATTAGATGTCCAATCGATCTTCATCCCATATTTCCCTATCACCATTGCTACTGCTATTGCTATTATCGGTAATTATCAACAAGCAAATAATGATCGCTTTAGCGAGAATGAAATAAATGAAGTAAAAGGGACGGAAAATCTTGCGATACCTGATTAGTGATTGGTGACAGAGGTGAAAGGGAAAGGTGACATTGTCAGTAGTAGCATTCTTTTCGCATCTTTGTGCTGCATTCACTTCGAAAAACCGAAAATATTACAGCGATCGATGTTGTTGTTGCCGTTGCTACAGCTGCATGGTACAGGTGCAGATGCATGTGCTACTACTAGTAGATAATAAAAAGATCCTGTGGACAATCCTAATAGCGGGGTTGTAAGAAGAATGAGAAAATATTTGAGAGAGATAAAAAGAAAAGAATTGAAAATAAGAGGATGAAAGATGAAATTCTAATGATGATGATTTACTGATAGCTCTTTTAATCTGTGTGAACACCTACGGGAATCTGTTTGTGAGAAAAGAAGGGGAGGAATATTTTACTGCTCAATAGATGACCATCAGTATTGCGATCGTGATCACGATGGTGGCCGAATATTGGTGGACATTGGAAGGTAAAGAATAGAGGGCTGAAAAGAGATTAGAAACGGAACATCGTCGCACTACAAGAGAGTGACACGAAAGCGAAAATGCGTCAGTAAGGTGCTCAAATGATGACCCAACAGGTTGCTTCGGCTACGGCTACTCTATCGATATCATTACTGCTTCTGATCCAAGCTATCATCCATATCCAACGGGTCCATTCCATTCCTATACCTAATTCACAAATCGGTAACTCTTAACTATCACTTTTATGGTAACAATTTTTAATGCTTTATAATATCTGAATAGTCTTGGATACATCAGATAAGTGAATAACTCAATCTTCTCTATCCTACAAAAATTTGGGATGCAACGGATATATTGAGATCAGTGTACAAATAAGCATAAGATATGCTTATCTATACACTGATTTTTTTCAGTGTTATAGCACCGGAAATGATGAACATGCATATAGTAATTCTTATCTAAGAATAAAGTTATGTCACCAATGTGAGTTACATGAAAATGACTTTGTTGGCTTGTTGAAGTTTTGAAATTAGAACATAGACGCATTTCAGTTATCACTTCATCCTACTTATAAGCAATTATCAGTTCCGTATCGCACTGAAATGTTCAAATTCGATACTGTTTAGAAAAATTTTTCATTGTACGACTTTTTATGTAAGTTATAATGAAAATTCTTTCACCAGCGTAAAATGGCAATCATTTCAAAAGTTATCCCACAAGTTCTATTCTCTGCTGCATGTCCATTGTAATGTATGGAATTAAAATAGCTTTGTTATATTAGAATAATTAAAAATAAATTCAATTTCGATTTTTAAAAGTGCTATATTACCAAAAATTTTCAGTTTTTTAACCTTATATTTAGATTTTTTTGAGATTTTTGAGTGTCAAAAATTAAACAAACAAAAATGATATGATAAAAAATTTGTTTTAAAGCTGCCTCCTATTCTCTTTAATTGAAATTCATTTGCGAATAATAATTTTATTTCATATTGTACACACACACACACACACAATGATAATGCTTTTAACAAAGAATGCAATGCTAGTTGTTTTATCTAATTCTGAAAGTTTCTCCATATCATTTACATCACATTTCCTTCTTGGTCACAGTGGAATAGTTTAGTAGTATATCGGACAAAAATGTTTCCAAGGATTAAAAAAGTTTGCCATTAGCATTGACAGTTGCGCATCAGAATTATTGTAATGATCATTTGCCGCACAAGTAATAATAGTAATGTATTTCTATTATGCTTGTATATCCAAAAATAAGTTCAGAATTAGAAAATTGATTACTTACTGAAAATTTGAATGAATATAAAACTTAAGCTTAGAAGCAGACAATAATACAATAATCATTATCCCGACAATGATACTTTAAGAGTAATAAATTTTAAATTTTTTCAATCAAAGTTTGTTAAGGAATTGGATATCTACAACACTTTCAAATGCGATTTAAAAGAATGACAATGTATTTAATTCAGAGAAAAATTTAGTCTAAAAAACTGGAGTGAAAATTTATTGAATTTTAAGGTTAATCGATTTTATCATTTTTGAGCCAGTTCATCCAACTCAATATCTATCTGAACAGTCATGATTTAGGTTATTTTCGGATCGTTTCATCGGTCAACACATCAGAAAAGTTAGAATCTTTTTCTTTCTTTTTTGAGAAAAAAAAACTCCGTTTTACAGAATCACTTTTGCGAAGTTATTTCTTACATTAAAAAGAGGAAAAGATAAAAACAGGTTTCTATCGTTTGGCATTGTAATAACAAATATTTGCCGGCATTTTACATGAACTCATTTTATCTAATTCTAATCAAAATTTTGTTAGTAACTCATATTTTTCAGTATTAAAAATAAATTTGAGATAAAATTGAGCATTGAATTTAGCAAATGGACACTGATCGTTTCCTTTCTTTTCATCTATCAATCTGCCTATCATACGATTCTCGTTATGATCATATCAGACTCCTTTTTTTTAAGTGATCAATTTTTAGTTGTCTTTCTTACTATTAAAATTTCGCCTAAAAGTTGGAAATTATTGAATTTGAAAAACTTCAGGTTTTTCAGCACTTCGAAAATTTACGAAGTGTAAATTAATGGTTAAGCAGTAATTTTCAGGAAAAGCGGAAGTGGAATGTGGTGAAGATACGATTGAAGTGGTGTTCTTGACAGAAAGCGTATTCCAGGGTCGAGTTTATGTAGTAGGACATTCGAATGACGGACGTTGCGTATCACGCGATACGGGTCGTCGAACTACATCGATTACGGTTCGGAAGGATCAGTGCGGTGTCGCTATTACGAGATCCGTTAGTTCATTTATCTTTGCATGATTACACATCTCTATCAAATCTCATGCTATGCATTCTACGGCATTAACATGAAATGACAGACGGATCACAACTATGCTAGACCTGTTTACCTTAGGCTATCGATGACCTTTGCACCCTCCCCTACAATTGTTCTGTCACGTCTTACAACCGTCAATGATTGTTTTTAGAGGATGATACTGAATGTACTGGACGAAATGCTTCTTTCGGAAGTCTGATGATAAAAAAAAACATATAAAATCTCCAATTAAGATTTGCTCAGGGCGATAGAATTTACGTGCCTGAGGTAATTGTAACTGTTAACTTCTACAATGAAATTAACTTCACTACAATTAAACTTTATTGTTTTCAATTCGATCGTCTTAATTTTCAATGTCGATTATTTGCAGTTTATGTTCAGCTTTACAAAAATCTTGTTGACGAAATACAGTGATAGGGAAAGATTGAATTCTAACTGTCATAATGATCTCGTTTAGTCCAAAGAAGTTATCAATCGTTTGCTCATCGAGAAAAGTCGTAAGGTTAGGAGAGGTGCAATATGCTGAACTCTTCTTTCTTTAGCTTTCCAAGTAAAATTATCTATTATTGACGAATTATGTTATCAGTGACTGCTAATAGCACAATTCAACGGTAATAAATGCACCTTACATTTTCCAGTTGCAAGCATAAAAATTTAAATTTTCGAAATTGGTAGCCTTATAATGATAAAACTTGATGAGATGAGTTATATCACAGTTGAAGATGTAACGTTTCTAGTTGATAAACAAAACAAGTAGGGTTACTTAGTTCTATTTATCATTCATCTTTTTGAGCCATTATATAAAAGATAGAAGAAATAAAACGGAAAGAGAAATTCAATTTTTGAAGCGCAAATGTTTTTTGGAAAAGGTGTTTTTATGGATATGAAACTTTACAAAAAGTCATCAAATTTCAACTCACCATTTCAGTATTGTTTATTATCGGACACGAAATGTGATGATTAGAAAATGTTAGATTTTTTAATTCCTTCTAATGAAAAAAAGAAGGAAGAGGGAGAGAGAGAGAGAAAGAAAGATGTTTTAAATGGTAAATGGTCCCAATCCAATGTCCACAATCTTTTACCTTTTGTAATTTGAAACAGGTATGTGGCATTAAAAAAATCGTAACTTTTTCATCTGTGGATAGAAATTGTTCCATAAATGAGACTAATAAAAGTAATTGATATTTATAGCTTTTTCAATTTCAATTCAACTACTTATTTACTAACATTTTTTTTCATATTTTTTTTATCATCGTTAATGTTATTGTTTAAGAATGGAAAATGAAATAGACTTGAAAGGCACTGATCAGGTATCCATTGTATATCCATATTATTGTTAATATTATTAATTACCGAACCGAATCTGAATTCTGCTTGAAATTTAATTTTAGAAGACAAACTGTTTGGAAAGATAATTAAAATATGGCCTAAATTTGAAGTCCCAACGATTGCTTTTTATGTTATATTTTTTGAATTTTTTAAACAATTTGGCGTTACTGTTCCGCTTCAATTAAGTAAAAAAATGGATGAAAAATTTGTGTAATTGAAATAAGTAAAAAACACTTTTGGATTGGACAATACCGCCAATATATTGTTTGAGCAAAACTGTTTGCTTATTTGACACTGGCACGAAGGCCTAAATTTTCTTAACAATTAAATTTAAGCGAATTTTTAATTTCAGTTGCAAGAACATTTTATTTTCTCAAATAATTTCAAAAATTTTAGAAAAGACATTGCTGAAAGCAACTAGAAAAAAACTTGTTAATTTACAGCCTTTTAGAAGTTGTTAATTTACAGCCTGATCATAAGGATAAGGACTGATGAATAGCCACAATGATCTTCACTAGAAATATATATGTTTTGATTTAGAATAAGCAAATGTCATTTCTATTGTTGTCTTATCAATGTCTGTTTTAATCTTCAACTGATGACTCTCAACCCGACTTTAATATTATACCAAATATCTTTTATTGCTTCTGGTGGACGAGAAAATTTAATTTTTCAAATTCATTATGTACTGAATTTCAATATATCCGGAAATCATTCAAAGAATCCATTCATAATAACAATTGAATGATTTCAAAAAAACAGTTCAAACAGTGAGGAATTAAGCTTATCAAATAGACAGTTGTTTAATTTAGTGATATCAGAAAGGATTAAAACTTTGGAAGTGTTTATTTGAATTATTCATTCTAACAGTTTTTGTTTACTAAAATATGTAAGGCCTCTAAATGCGTAAGTATAGAAGTATGCAGTAGGTAGGTAACATTCATCAGTAACGGTATGGCAAATAACGGCCTTCGCTGATATAACTTGTTTATTTTTCACGAAATTTTGTCTCGAAGACCTCATTTACGAAGACTTTTTCATGGTATCTAATATGAATGAAGATGAACTTAGTGACAGACGGCTCGTTCAATGAATTTTGATGGTCGCTGTAGAAAATTAAGTGAAGAAACCAGGAAAATAAAACAAAATGGATAGAATACACTTTAGTTGTTCATTTCTTGTTATATCGAAAGTGTTTGAGAATCTATGCAAAATTCGGAAACTTTTTTTAAATCGGATAAACTTTAAATGATAAACTAAAAGTGTCAGTTAAAATTTGAAGAATTACCTTCTATTTATTTCTCTTAGGTCTCATTATTTTAGCTTTCATAGGATTTATCGGACTAAATCTTTTACATATTCATTATAACTTTTTCGGATGAAATTATGGATGAAATTCTCATTTCAACAAATTATAATTTAAATTTTCTCTTACTTAGTCTACTTTCTTGTTGACAGCTTTTGATTTAGTGAAGTTATGACTGAAAAACTAAGTGGCATAAAGATTTTTGAAAAAAATTATGGGATGAAATTTTGGAAATTTGAAACAAAAAAAGATGTGTTGTTGAGTTAATTAATCAATAAGCGATAAATAAACTAAAGGAGAGAATGAAAAAAGTAATCGAAGAATTATTAAAAAGTTAATAATTATTGTTAAAGTTTTTCAAGAAAATTTAAAACAAAAGAAAAGAAAAAGTAAAAAGAAATGAAAAATTGCATCCAATCGATTTACAAAATAAAAAGTTTATATTTTTAATTTTATTCGATAATTAATGAAGAATTGAACTTTTCTTTTGCAACGACACACTTTTTATCACTATTATCAATGAAAGAACAATTAGCTGATTAAATATTATAATTAATATATAACTGAAATCCAATTGAATTGCTATTAATTAATTGGTTTTTCTACATATCAGAAATAAAATGCATCGCTTTTCAGGTTGTTGGATACCTAAAAAGGAAACCAGTATGTTATACTAAAAGCTTTAAGAGCAAAAATTTTATTAAATTCTGTTAAATTATTTTAAAACGATAACAAAAACATATAAGTGACATTTTCCATTGATTATCATCGAAAGCCAGTTTTTTTCCTTTTTCTTCAACTTCTTGATTGGATAACTAAAAAAATGTTATTGCTCTCATCTAAGCGATGTATCAGCGGTAATGTCATGATATCGTAATAAAACAGTAGCGGCAATGGGAGCACGTTTTTCGTCATTCCGCCAAACAAAGAATTTCCTTTTAATCAGTAGCTGTAATTCAACCAATTAATTAATAATGAATTCATTTGTATTATACAAAAATTCATAGGGGGTAATATCCTAATGATCTGCCAGCGCATATGCAAATTGGATAATTGCACGTTCAAACCTATCATTTACTTTCCAATACTGAAAAGAGTTAAATGGAAAAAATGAATTAGAAAAATTAAAAAAATTTTGAACATATTACTGTTGGGTTAAGGTTGGAATCAAAGGTAAATATAAGTAATGCTTCAGATGAAATTGATTTTTTCCTTACTAATATATAAATTTTATCGATTGCAGACAAATCCACCAGGTATGTTCGCTAATGTAAAAGTGATGATTTCGTTCCATGAAGAATTTATAACAAAAGTGGATAGGGTTAGTTTATCATTTGTTTCATCTTCAAAATTTTAAGTTTTGAAACAAAAATAGATAACAATTACAACATTTATACATCAACCAGATGACCTTACCATTTCGTATCATTCGGCCAGTACATGAAATTATATTTTAAATTTGATCTTTTATCATTTATCATTTAAAGTTATTAAACAAGAAAAGATTCTGATAAGTTCCAAAGTAAAAATATTTGGAAGAGAGAAAAATGACCATTGAGATAGATTATGCCGTGTAGTTGCCATTAAATATTTCATTTTCAGGGCTACGAAATTAGTTGTTTTTACATGGAATCAGATAAAACAGTAACATATCCATTAACAGTATCAATGAAATCATTGGAACCATTCACAGAACTTGCCGAAATGCCACGATGTCATTATGAAGTGGTAGATCCGATCACCATGGAACCATTATCAGTTGTTTCGGTTGGCAGTAAATTGCTTCATAAATGGAAATGTGATTCCAGTGCTACAAGTATGTTTGTTTATAAACTAATTAATAAAATTTCAACATATCTCGGCGAAGATTTAATTCAATTAATAATTAAGCGGAAGTTAACAAAAGCGATATAGTATCGGTATCATCCGCGTAGTTACATTGTCATCACATAATGATTAGCATAAATTTCATCAGACATTTAATTTTCTAATTAAGCGTGTTTAGAACAAAAAATTTAAAAAGCATAACATTGGGTTTAGAGATGAAATTAGTTAAATAAAAAAAATTAGATCTATGGATTGGATCACATTCATTTGTTATATTTCATATAATTTAGCAATATTTTCACTAACTTAAAAATTTCAATTTCATCGCAATTCTTTTTTTGCATTTAAAGTTATCAAAGCAATTAATTAATGTATTGTCTTTTCTAAACGAAAAAAATCCAAACTTTTATTTTAATTTAAATTAAATTTCTGTTGCTATCATAATTTCAAATCATAGGCTTATGGTGTATGACGGTTCATTCATGTTTTGTCGAAGATGGATCTGGCACACAATTTGTTATACTCAATGAAGATGGGTAAATTTAGCACTTCAAACTTTGGAATGTTTTCCTTTCAATTTCAATTTTTTCTTCATAGTTGTAAAAACTATTCCATTTTACAAATTCATAATCTGATTAAAATCAGAATAATAAAATATAGAAATGATTATGACTGTATAAATATTAAAAAAAAAAAATATTCAGGTGAGAATAGAAAAACTTGATGAAGTAATTTCCTGTTAGTTAAACTGTATTTGAATCAGACATTATTTTAGATGTGCAATCGATCGATATCTATTGGATAATCTAGAATATGGTCCCAATGATTTAGAAGCACAAAAAGAAGCACATGCTTTCAAATTTGCCGACAAAGTGGTAGTAAATTTCCAATGCTCAGTCAGGTTGGATATTCGAGATGGCGATTGCCCGGTACGATGTTTTTTGTTAATTAAAATGTCATAGAATAGCTGGAAAAATCAATTTGTTATTAACAATAAGAAAGTTATCAATAAGAAATGTCAGAATCAAAAGTTTGTATGTTCGTACTTCCAAAGGATTGATGAAATAGGCATCATTGTCCATTTAATTTTAAATTTCCAAATTTTATTTCGCACCTTTCATCTATTTTATATTTTACTATTTGCTATATGTATATACATATACATATAGATATATATGTTTTGTGTTGTTCAGAAGCCACAATGTCGAGATTTGAGCAATCAAAGAAAGGCAGTAAGACGACGAGCATTACCGGATTTGCCATTAGTGTTGAATATGACTGACTATATGGCTGAGGTAGATGTCCGTTCTCAACAACTTGATGTATTAGACACTCAGCTAGGTATTTTTTCTCATATTACATGGTAATATTATAATTTATGTCTAAATTTTTTTATTTAAATTTTCCTCAATGTTAGATTTTGGCGTTTCATCGAATAATCCTCGAGTAGCTGCACAAATTCGTCGATTGCAAAGGCCGGAAGGTGATTGCCATATCAGTACGACATCAGCAATTGTTGGCGCTTCATTTTGCGCTTTAGTAATGCTTGTAATGATCCTTCATATCGTATATCTTTACAGAAGGATGCAATTTAAACGATAGTAAAATAAAAATTAGATGGAAGTTGAAATTGATGCAAACGCTATGATTTGTACTTTAGCTTTTTTTAGATGTTCGGGTAAAGTTTGTTTGTTTACTTGCTGGGAATGAAGTTTAAATTTTTATTTATAAAAAATTCACTCATCATTTCTTCATTCCCAGAATTTTTAATAAAATATCTAACTTCCTTCATATTACTTTCTTAAACAAAAAAAAGTTTGAAGGATTCTATTTCTACTTGTAATTCAAAAGTTCACTTTTATAGTTACGGGCTATTTGATAGTATCAGTTATTCTGTAATGAAAATAGGAATAATTTTGGGATAGGTAAGTTCCATTTTATATTTTTTATTCTTTGATGAAATATTTTTAAGAGACTAAAACAATTACTACTTTTTATTCATTACTTGGATAAGAGGAAAAGATTAAATTTAATTCTTAACAAGGATTTGAATCTTGACTGGCTCCGATTTTACTTAAGTTTATGATATCAAACTTATTAAATTCTTATTGAAATTGGAGCAAAACTTTTTCATTTGATTTAGACATGTTTTGTTTAGTCAATGGACACTAATTACTGTTTGTTTATTTTTAATTACTGTACAAATAGTTATACATGGAACTTCTCTTTTATAGCATTATTATTGACCTCCCTGATATTGAGGTCAGGTCGAAATAGAGAGTTTTGAGAATTTTGCATTTTCTGAAAAAAAAAATGAGGATAAAATTCCTTTCAATTACTTACTCATATCATAGAGTTTAAAAAATTCTCCGTTACATTAGAGCTTTTAATTATTCCATTAATTGTAATGAAATAATCAAATCTCTTTTCATTGAAATTATCCTTGGATTGGATTACCGTAATTTAAGGATAATTTAATGAAAAGTTTCATATATAATGTTTGTGGTGTTACTAGTATGAAAGCATTGGACATTTGGTTTACAATTGATTATTCAAAAGTCATATTTTAATCAAAATAATTGGCCGGTTCAAAGTTCATCCTTTTCCATTTGGATTCATCTCTTAAACAAACTTTACTTTTTCTAGTAATCCAATGATAATATGTTGTTGCTATATGTTGTACATTACTATCTGTTTGTTCATTCAATATATTTGTGATATATCTTTGTATACTTTTTTGAAATCATATTCAACTTTGTTCATCATTAAATTGAACATTTTCCGCTTATTAAACTTTGTTCTATTTTGATTACCATCTTGAAAAGTTTGTATCATATTATTCGTGCGCGGTTCATTACTTGATAATAAAAAGAAATTTGAAGAATTCCATTGAAAAAATGAGAAAAGATATTATGACAGTTATAGGCAAGATTCAGAGGAAGAACAATAACTAAAAAACTACGAACAAAATTAATTACCATACAAATTAGACAATAATTAATAATAAAACACTTCTCATACAAATAAGATTGATGGAATAAAGATGCCAAAAAGTGTGAAGAAATTTCTAAAGTGATAATTTAACCATAGAGTGCGACAACCAAATTAGTAATATGATAAGATTAGAAATGGTAGCAAAACAGTGAAAGAGTTTTGTTAAACGGCTTCATAACTCATTAATTAAAAGTAATTTACGGAGCAATCAATGACTCCAACCTATGGCTAAATCGACACAGTACATTTCATCGGATTCATCAGCGCAATCTATGAAACCATCACATCGTTGCGATCGCAAAATACATTTACGATTATCACGACATGGAAACATACGTTCATCATGCATGCAAATCGGTATTGCTGTAATGGAAACATTCTGAAGTTCAACAAGTCAAATAATTTAAAAGAAATAAAATTTTGAGTATTTATTTTTTGACTTTGGTTATTTGTCACAGATTAACTAAAACATCGAGTTTTGTTAAACAGATGAAATGAAGAAATACTTACGACATTCCATTTCATCGTCTCCATTTCCACAGTTATACAATCCATCACATCGATATATTAAATTGAGACACCTGAAATAATTACCTAAAGATTTATCACTGAATTTGGAACATAAATAGGTTTACTTCAATATTAGAAATTATATTTCAAAAAAGTGAAAAAAGATGAGAGAAGTTATTTCTGATTGATAGAAAAGATCAAAACGAACAAACAGAAAACCATACGGAAGTGAACACTCTGAACTTACAGCGCTGAACTGTCAAGAGACTAATTAATTATATTTTGCAAATATTTGAAAGGAATATGTATGAGCAAGAAAATCTTAACTCTTGCAACTTTAAACGTGCCAAATCTAGAATCGATGAAATCAAATTGAAAATTCTCAGAATTTCCGACCATTTTGTGGGATAAAAACGATCCCATTACTTTGAGAATTTTCCCTCAAAATTTAAATGCAATAATATTGAAAACCTAAGAGCATGAATTGATCTCATACACTTTTTTAGTAAAAAAGAATTTTTCAGGATAACAATTCTTTCAATCAATAATTCTATAAAATCGAACTTATGATCCGGTCGTGAACATAGCAACTGATATTTTGTACAGTTTGGTTCACACAAACCACTTTCATGCATAATAAATCCTTCGGCACATAAACATTGCGATCCTGAACCATCAAGTTTCGGTACACAAATATGTTGGCATGTTGTCGCTTCACAAAGATTAGAAGCTGTATAATTAAATTATAACTTCATAATGAGTTGGCAAAATTTTAAGAAATTTCAAAATTTAAGATTCGATTTATATTTGGAAGGTTTCTTCCCTTTTAATTTATTCATAAAAGCATTACAGGAAAGCATTCCCGTTGCTGCCTACCTTCTATTTGCATAGCTGGATGATACGCCTTGAGGGAATATGGTGGCAGTACGGTCCTCAACAACATCGTTATATTTTGGCCGGTAAGTTTATCAGCAAATAGTAATTCACGACGAGTCCAATCACTCCAAAGGATCTTATCATCAAATACCGTCAATGCAAAAACATGTGGTACCAATTGACTATCACCGATTACAATTCGCCGACTCGTTCCATCCAAATTTGCGATTCTACATTGGAGATTTGAATGAAAGAAATTATAAGAAAATTTTAGATATGCATTCAAATAAGAAGGTTCTTTTCTTTCTCAACCAAAATCATGATATTAATCACGAATCATGATTTCATACAATATACAATATAATCGCAATATTTAGAAAAATAAAATGAACTCAATAACGTCGCGGAAAGCATCGGCCCAATAAATACGTTTTGCAAAGTAGTCGATAGCTAACGCATTCGGCCAAACTAAATCTTCAGTGATGATTTTCTTTGCTTCACTACCATCCATAGCAAGTCGAACTATAAATGGATTTGTACCCCAATCAGTTGCAAACAATTCGCTGTAAAGAATACATTCGTTTAATTAATTATGTAGCGTCGTAATTAGTTATGAAAATCAAAGATAGTCTTTATTAATGATAAGAATCTCCAAAAACTCTATTTTCTGTTGTGGAAGAGAATATTGCGAGTATTTTGAAATTAAATAAAGCATAAAGAATAAGTGAAATCATTTGAAGAGAAATAAAATCTTCATCATATTTCACCGAAAATTTGCTTAAGTAATTATTATATTAGAAAAGATGAGAGATTTCTCTTTTCATCTTTTAATATTCTATTAATAAGAAAAAAGAAATTCAGTGATAATTTTCAAGAAATTCAGTGATAATTATATATATACTTTTCAAGAAATTCAGTGATAATTATAAGATAATTTCAGGAATATTTTCTAAGGAAAAAAAAAGGTACCGTGTCGATGGATAAGCGACTAAAGCTCGAGGTAAATGAAAGAATGAATTATAAAGTGATGCTCTATAAAGACCATCAAGACGTTGCACATGTAATCGCTTTTGACGTAAGGTATATAAATTTCTGAAGAATATCTTTCACTTTTCTTTTTTCTCGTAAATTTTAAAAATTATTTTAAATCGTTTTCTTTCATCAAAAAAACCCATCGAATTTATTTTTTCCTTTAAAAATGCTGATTAATTGAGTTTGATTTAATAAGACAATAAATAATTATCCTTATCCATTAATTTAAGATTTAATAAAGTGATTTAATGCTCTAAACTAATAGTTGTATCTAATTTTGATAGATTGTTAATAATATTCTTACTATACTGTTATCATCACCGATAATTGTTAACACAATTAGAACTGTTATTGAATTAATACATTTGCATAAAAGAAATCATATTATTAGCAAACTTTAATAATATTATAATGAATAAAGTAAGTTGATTTACCTATGCACCCAATCAACAGCAATTCCTTCTGTACCTTCAACTTCATGATTTTGTACAATATGTACTTTATTTCTATCAAATACATTTACGTATTCAATTGAATTTCTTGTTAGATCCACATAATATAATTTCTTTTCCTGGAATATAATTAAACTTCCAAAAAGATTCATACTTATCAAAAAAACATGTAAAATAATAAAAATTTTGCCTTGAAATCATAATCGAACATGGCCACTTTTTCCTTTCCATAGTTTGGCACCAATTTTAGTTGAGATTTTGCATTATATGTTATGTTCCAAATACTATAAGAATGAGCCAAGAAAAATAGAACAGGTTCTGGAAATATATCATTTGCTTACTGCAGTAAATCAATATTTATTTTTTTACAACATTCTTTGAAATTGTAATCAAAAAGAATCGAAAATGTTCGATGAAATTTTCCCTTTAATAAATTTCAAAAAATAATAAGCCATTGCACAAACAATTAAAATGAACTGAAACAAAAAATATAAAAAAAATAAATGAACCATTATCAGTACGATAACATCGATGACCATTTCCAGCCAGTTTATACAAAGGGTTAAAACATTCACATTCATAACCACCTAGCTTATTGATACAATTCTGCGAACAAAAATGTTTATTGGAGACGCATTCATCCACATCTAAATTACAGTAAATAAGTTATCTTGCATCATATATTTCTAGTGATAAATTAAAGTGTTATTTAAATTGCAATTATTATTGTCACTAATGAATTTATTTATTATTTTTATTAAAGTATCATAATATTTCCTATATTAAAAAGAAAGAAATGGATTATTTTGAAATATTAGAATTAGAAATTTAAATCGTTTAAATTCAAAAAAATTTTAAACATAAAGAAAATTTTCCAAAATGAGTGCGTTTACCAAAATCTTATAAATATGAAAAAGATCCAAATAAGTTCTTTAGGCTCTATTTCAAAATTGATTAATCACACATATATTTCTCCAATCACTTAAAACTAATACTAATCGAGCAGTAGATTAAAAGCTATAAACTTTTCTGAAAGTATGCAAGAGGTATCAGTTCATGCTTATTTCGCTAACAAAATAGGAAACTGCCAAACTCACCGATACATTTCGCTAGTTGTTCATTGTAATAGAAACCCTTCGGACAGTCAGTCATTGTGCAATTATTACATAATTGAATATCAGAATAATCATTGCTATCATCAGTGATATTTATAATATTATCGAAATAAGCTTAAAAGAAATATTTATTTCAGATATTACGGTTGGTTATTAATTATTCAGATTTTAAGATTTTGACCTCTTAAAAGTGTTTTTCATTTGTTGAGTGTGACATTATAACACAAAAAGATTGATTTTAAGTAATAATTATTGACATTCTGAATCGTATTGATAAAGATCGATGGTGCCAGCTATAGTTGATGTTGAAAATAAACATTTTAAGCAGTAAGGTATAATGAATTGATGGAGAAGCACTGACCGGAAATGGTTTCATTACGGTTCATTTTTGGTTGCCGTTTTGGTTGCCGCAAATAACAATTGCTAATATTCGCATTAATTAGTATCTCAAAGTAGTTTTGCATATTCTATAAAAAAGAAGTGAACTATTTAAAATGTTAATTTGAAAGTATTAAACTTTAGGATGCTTCATTTGCCTGAAAACATTAAAATTTTGAGCTCTCAGATGCTTTTAATTTGTGTTATATTTGCTAAGTCAATAAATTCCAGCATATTAATTGTAAAATTACTTTATCAAACAAATCTCAGATTCTTCCTTCTTTCAAAATTATTTCAAATAGCCTTTTTGAAATTTCAACTTTATCAATATACTAAATAAGACTCGAAATGAAGGAATTTTAAGCGCTTAGATTGTTTAAAAGATGTGGTAAACCTCTGTTATTTGAGGACATTTTTCGTAAAAAGATTCAGTGATTCCGCAGTTAAGGTACCACTTGGCGAAACTACATCGTTGCGATGGTTGATCTGATGTTTCCTAATTTAAAATATGAAGTTAAAATTTGATTTCGTGAAAGTTATGGATAAGAAGATTAGAGATAAAAAGAATCATTACAAAGGTAATCAAAAGAAATCATTTTTACATTACGGAATACGATAAGTGATGAGTGGTTAGTTCTAAAATGTGACAATGATGTTATTCAAAATAAAAGACTGAAAAAATCTCAAGAAAAATTCAAAGGGTGTAAAACTAAAATTAAAATATAAAATAAAATGAACCATCTTAAAAAATAAATTGTAATTGTATTGATCCGAAAAATGAGTAATATTTGAGCATTCACTTTCATTATAAATTAAATGAAGCATTTCAATGCAACTTTCTTGATTTAATAATAAATTAGCAAAGCTATCGCTGCAGTAATAATCATACATTTTTTCTAAATGTATATTCATATTCCTAAAAAATAGTTAAAATATTAATACTTTTTAATTAATATACATTAATAATATAAAATTGAATTAATATGTGAATTACACATATAATAATCGAATTTTTGTTATTTTCAAAATATTCTGATTGTGTGCTACGAAAGAAATAAGTATAAACCTGCATTGCGAACTAATACTCTCAACATTTTTCTTGTAAATTTTATAAGTTAAGCAAGGAGCCCTTTCAACTAATTGATTAAAAGAAGATCGAAATAACTGATATCCGAGATATTCATATTTTCTTAATTCTAATGCTGCTTCCACTACATATCGTTCACTTGCTATATCACATCGTTTGGTGATAATTTCATTTTTCGGATTTGATTGATCTGAAAGTAATTAATGAAAATAATACCTTTTAAGTCTAAATGTTTCCTACAAAAAAAAGCATAAATAATGCAATTTTTGATCAAATAATTGGATGAAATTTTGTTTCTAATCATTTAATTTTTATTTAAACTAATCTTTTAAAATTTCACAAAAAGCTTTCCTTACATTATAATTTCCAATTTATATTTCATAAAATGATTATTCTGAAAATGAATTAATTAGTGCTTGTAATTAATGACATAATGCAATAAATTATTGAAACGATATTGTTTAATAATATAATATATCACCTATTGATTTAACAATTTTATTGGAATTATCGTTCAATTCGATGATATTTTCTGAATCAACGAAATTTAATTCTGAGAAATATGAATTCAATTTTCGTAAATCGCATGAGTTTTGATTAGAGTTTAAAAGTAATTCATAATATTTTTGAATAATCTGAAAGTAAGATTTAAAAGAAAATACTATCGAAAAGCTAATATGAATATCAAATAAGAAATTTAGTAAAAGATTTAATGCTTATATTCAGAAAGGTTAAGATTTTTTTAATTAATTCTTTTTCAAGTTGATATTTAAAGAACTAAGGATATTTATTTGCTGATGATATGATAAAAAATAAAGTAAACTAAACTAATATTTATTAATTGATAATTAATAATTATGTAAATGGAAAACCTGAACGGCAACAGGACATGTTTTATAGTAAGCATCAGTGAGACTACAATTAAGATACCATTGTACAACGCGACATTTACGTTCTGCGATTTCGTTGTGCTCGTATTCCTAAAGATTTGATAAGTTCATTATCTGAAAGAAATTGTTTTCCTTATAAATGGTAACTTCACTTAAGAACATTTACGTTTCTAACTCTAATCAATAAAACGCAAGCAGAATGAATCAGTTGGACGCAACTGTGAAAGATTAATATAATTTGAATTAGGCATTAAATAAATTTATTCACTTTTATGATAATAAGCTTTTAATTATTGAAATTAAATATAATATTTCTCCATGTTTGGTAGAAAGCTATGCTATAAAAGCTACTTTTCATAAATAGAATGATTGATTTGATTTCCTTAATGTGTTTTATAGTGATATTTTGCAGATTTAACTTTAAAATTGCTTGCCATTACAAAGTATAAGGTCATTTCGTTAGAATGATCTTGACCTTTGAAGTAGAAAGAAATTGTTTATTGCTGAAAATCAGAGCTAAGTGATTGGAAGAATATGAAAATAGTTTTGGATTATGGCATATTCTTTTCATTGAGTTCTTTTTTTTGTCAAGTTCCTTGATTTTTTATAAAAATTCAAAGGATCTGATAAGAGATAACATAACTCTCTCTTTATTCGCACTAATCTCTCCGGTAAGAGTTCAAGAAATTACTGTTTCACTAATTTCACTAATTACTGTTTCACTAATCAAATGTTTTGTTTATTTTCTTGTAGAGAAATAAATGGAATATAACCAAGCAATAATCAACCGGATTTATTACATTTTTTGATTATAACTTATCCAAACTGTTTCTTCTTGCAATAAGATGGAAAAATTAATTAATTTCATAGAATTTACAATGATTAAAGCATCCCATGTAGCCAGAAATAGAAAAATGAATAATTATAATTATGAATAATGATTTTCTGATTAAGGATATGGTTCAATGAATTATGAAGAGATAAAAAAGAAAGAGCCTGAATTGATATTAATACTTGATACAGTATTTCAGTGATAAGACTAAATCAAGAGGAATGCAAAACTTTTTTAAAAAGTTAAAACAATTAGAAAATAAATCTGAAACTAACACTTCGGAAAAGAATTGTTTCCTGATCGGATTGAAAAATGCTATTATGAAAGCATTTCGAGGAATATATCAAGTAATCTTGAAAAGCAATGAAGCAAGTGTGATGTTCATGTAATTGCTTTTGGAAATTACTAGAACATATCTCGACGAAAAAGTGCTCTGACTGGGTATTTAGTTTTCTGAAATTTAGAATTTACAATAGACATTGTTTACTCGTTTTATTTAGTGTTGCAATCATGTCCTAACAGACTTTATTCCAGCTCCAAAACCGAATCCAGATTTATCCGAGGAGCAGAGAAAGCAAATTATGAAAATTGATAATTTTGTTATCATGAAAATATGACTGATTACTTGTTCTACCACTCTCAACAATTTAGAGATAAGTACAAGTATGTCTAATAACTTTATTTATTACTTGCTTTTAAGATTTCAAACAATAATCCCAGAAAAAGGAAAAACAACCTGCAATCCATATTATACTCACTAGTACAGTTCTCATATTCCTTATATAATTTACAAAATGTTGGTGGTGCAGCCATAAATGATTTTTCAAAAAAAAATTCTCCAAAATTAAGTTTATCGAGGAATGGAGCCAAGCATTTCTGAACAATTTGTTGTTCTGTCGCAAAATCGCAATATGATTCATTGATATTTCTTTCTATAATACATTTCAATTCAATTTCATCGCTTTAGAGGAATTGACAAAAAATATTTTCTTAAAATATTATTTTATGAAATTTATATTCCGTTTATTAGTCATTTATGCAAAAAAAGAAAACGAAAATTTTACCATTGTGAGTTAAAATGTTAGGTAGAAAAAGTAGGAAGACAATGATAAGCATAGTTAAGATAACCGAATAACACTGCAACATTGAAATACCAAAGTTTTGGAGAATTATGCAAAGTGAACCATCGATGGTATCTTTTAGATTGAGAATTATTGAATGATGGATGGAGTTGATCGATTTGGTAATTATTGTTTTTTTTGACCCCATCCCTTGCGACGTAACTACCATTGCGTATTATAAGGTCAGATTGTGCATAAGTTGAGAAGAGATAGTATTTAAGGAGAAAAAGTATTTGGAGACTATTATTTGCGATCAGATAATGTTGTGGTCACTATTCGTGAATTCAAAAAGGAGAATCATATATTTCTCCCCCACTAATTATAATAGCTAATAGTTATTATAATAATGGCGAAAAAATTACAACTACCTCATTAATTACGAAATCTCATTTCCGTTTCATGCAACAATCATTTTCGATGAATGTCCAGTTTTTGGAGAGAGATTTCACATGCTATTTCGTAACTGGATATTAGATATGAACTCTGCCTTATTTTCAACAATAATTCAACGATTATTGCACAAAAAAACTAAAGAAAAAACTCCATTATTTCCTTATTACTGTTATTCTCACTTTTCCGATTGTTCCGATATTATGAAACAATTGGCCTTGTAATTATATCTTCTTTTTCTAATCTTACAGTAAATTTTAGTGAAGCATATAAATATCAGTAAAGTGGTAAATTAAAGCAATGAAGTTCCGATGAATTTAATACTTTAATGAATTAATTCCTGAATGCTTCATGATTTCAATGTATAACTAATTCAAATTGATTTCTGAACACTTTAACCTGGCAAATTCGACTGTGACAGATATAATGCTTATAAGATCTTTGATTCTTTACATAAGCCATCAAACATTTGCATTTTTCTTTTGTTCGGTTACGTTTCACACCTATTCAGTTAAATGATCTCAGCAATTTCGATTAACCTTTGGGTAGTGGGAGAAGAAGCGAAAAGAGTAGGCATGGGAAAAAGATGGAGCATAAAATGTTCAAACTCATTTTAATGCATTACAATGTCGATAGGACCAATTCAACTCGTTTCTTCTCATACTCATCAATTATTCTTCTTCGATTATGTATAATCCACGTCACCTACGCTCACATAACTGCACAACTCTGATCCTCTACACGTAACGCCACACGGCAACCACCCACACCCAACATTGCATTTCTACGCCTATATATTACTCATACCAATCTCACAAAAGCATCATTTCGGTTCGGAGACGAGTAGCAAAAAAACATCGATGGCGTAATTGTCCTTTCGTGCGCTATGGATGGAAGTAAGGTTATGTTATGCTTGCCTACGGATCTGTTGTGATCTTTTGATCTTTTGACTAAGATTTACTTTTTCTACCTTTGATGATGCAATTAATACTTCTTACTTCATTGCTTCCATGAAATCCGTAATCTGAAACCTGACATTTCCCTTATCCTTCAGCTGCTCTTTCACTCACGTCATAAATTTTTTGTACGTGAAAACGGTTGATTGCTTGAGATATGCCTTACATGACGTGCTGATGAGAGGATGATATTGCTTTTGGTGACGGAATGAATATTGGTATTTCTTTCACATATGAAATAATAATAAATGATGCGAACTTTATCTCATTCAATTTCTGTTTTTTATATATTTCACTTCAACCTCTATTCAAACATATTTGACCAATAAATAGCGCGAAGTAGTGGAAGAGGCATCTTCTATCTTGGTTACTCACAATTACAAAAGATAGTAATCTTGTGTAATTATGAGTTACATTTACATTGCTGTACAATTTCAAATATTTGCCTTTTATTACGCCTTTTTAAATGATATTTAGCGATTTAATTATTTGCTTGTAATCATGGCTATTTCGTTATGTGCTAGGCCTATTGTTTCAGAAATAGAACAGAGACCTTTCTTTTTCATTTCATTGTCGAACATTTTCTATCCAATTTTGTTTCAAACTATATTTTAAAACCTATTGAAAGTTACAGGTCTAATTTTATCAAATTGAACTTGTCACCATTAATAGGTTTTAAAGTAAATATCACATGTAAGTTACACTTCTTAGCTGTATAGTGCGATTATTTTACTTCAGTGTTGGAAATGGCAAAAATCTCACTTGTGATTATAATATCGGCTGCTTTACAATGATAGTAATTATAAATTATCAGAAAATTCATTGTTTGTTCTTTAGGAAGTTATCAAAAAAGGATTTCCACCAAGTTTTCTCGTTTTATTGCAGACATTAATTAACTAGCAGAAGATTGATGAACTTAATTAACTAAAACCAAGCTTTTATCATCATTTTATTTTATTATAGATTGATTAACTATCATGCGATATGTTATCAATCATTAATTGCAATTTTTTCAGTGGGATGACAATTTTCTATTTGTAATAATTTCAATTAATTTGAGGAAAATAGTCCATGGCTGGACGAACTGCAATGCGTTCTGGAAATACAGGAGGTCCAAATAAAACTTGCCAGTTTAAATTGGTTTTGTTGGGTGAGAGTGCAGTTGGTAAGTGCTTTCGTATTTAATCCTCTATTGCTGTACATCCAAAAGGAAGGCCTTTCCTTTATAGGAGCCAAAATTGTAATACCATGATACTGATGTTTTTAATATTTTTCAGACAAGAAGCATCAGATTTTCAGGGAAATCATCTTTGGTCCTAAGATTTGTAAAAGGGCAGTTTCATGAGTACCAAGAATCGACAATTGGCGCTGCTTTCCTCACTCAAACTGTTAGTTTGGATGATACCACGGTGAAATTTGAAATATGGGATACTGCAGGACAGGAGAGGTATCTGGTTTAGAATGTACTTCTCATTGAAAAAAAAACTTTCTATATCTTGGTATTCTTTCCCTTACTTTCTCTGACTTACTTTTCATAGTTCAAGTGATAACTCATTAGATTTGTTTCATGAAGTGAACTTAAAAATGTTTAATTTGGGTACCGATTTAACTGCCTTTTGTTATTATTCTCTGAGATGACAACTTTATTTCGTGCATTCAGTTTTAACATTGGTATTGAATCGTCTTTAATGGCAACTATTTAGTGTAGGTGTTTTGGTGTATTTAACACAAGCGGTACATAACAATGGGATTGGTAATAATGACTGTTAGAATTGAAATTTTATCTTTTTTGTTTTGCTAGTAAATGTTATCATTCAACTTGATAATTTCTTTTTTTTTGCAGATATCATTCATTAGCACCAATGTATTACCGCGGGGCACAGGCGGCAATAGTTGTCTATGATATTACAAACCAGGTGCTTTTTTAATATCGCATAGAAGTGCAAATTTTTTTATCCTAGTAGGCGTCACATCTTCAAATTTTTTTGTACTCCATCATAATATGAAATGTAACGCTGCTGCAGAAGTGCTTGTTCGATAAGTATTATATCGTTAGAATATTACCAGAAATTTTATATGGAGTTGAAAATAGTCGTATAAGATTGTCTTTGACGCAGCAAGAATGAGCATCTCTGATATATAAGTTGTGAGATAGTGCTCATGTATGATGTAAAAGTTTCGGCAGTGATGTAGTATATTTGACTAACAACTTGTAGGAATCATTTGCGAAAGCGAAAAATTGGGTAAAAGAGTTGCAGCGGCAAGCCAGTCCGAACATTGTAATTGCATTATCTGGAAATAAAGCTGATCTTGCAAACAAACGAGTTGTTGAATATGAGGTTTTTTTGTGATTTCCATGCTTGAGCTTATGTTCTTCTATTGTTGTACAAATAATGCGATTTCATAGTGGAAGTTCCGATTTTAGTTTGTTATTTAGTTCGTCTCGCGAAAAGTTACTTTATTGAATCTTTTGTTTTACAATAACTTGTTGGTATTTATTTGTCGGAAACAACCCTTCGCATAATGCTAACAGTTACGGGAAATGAAATTTTCTTTGTTGGGATAATTGAATGCTATTGTTAGAGTTGTAAAGGACATTAATTCTTCACGATTCTCCGTAATTGTTGTTATATGGTGTTTGTAAATGTAATTACAGGAAGCTCAAGCTTATGCAGAAGATAATGCGTTGTTGTTCATGGAAACATCAGCAAAAACGGCGATGAATGTAAATGATATCTTCCTTGCGATTGGTTAGCTTACAGTCGATTGCTTATGACAAATTCTATTTTAAAATCTAGTGTTTTTGTGGTTCTAAAAATGGATTCAATTAGGAAAAGTAAATTGCAGCTAAGAAACTACCAAAAGGTGATGGAAGTGGCGGTGGTCCATCAGGACGTGGTCATGAAGGAATTGATATTGGCCAAGAGGGTCAAGGTCAAGGTATAAGCTCCGGTTTATGCTGTAAGTAATGCAGTCGTAATGTCCAGCACTAAAGGCGACAATAACAAAACTCATTTTTTCGATTCTTCGTGAGGAATGAACAGTGTTTGCTGGCCTCAACAAACATCAGCCTTTTATTATTATTGATCAAAGAAGATTGATACACACTTTGAAAATTCTACATTCTTTTCAATTATATTTTTCAGAGCAGTCCGAGAAGACATTATTTCATTGTTGGTGCTCTGAATTTTCAATTTATTTACATAATATTCGAGAAACTTTTTCTTAGATTCCATGCACCATTCATCAGTTCACAATAACAGCTTTCCAAGGGCAAAAATTTTGCAGTCATTGTTTTTTGTTCTGATAGGTTTCCAATGAAGTTTATGTCTATAACTTGGCTTGCTCTCAATTTCGTATAAAATATTTCTGTATGTTTCTCTTCTTATGTTTCCAAAAAAATTCGTAACTGGTAGTAAAAAATATTTTTTTCAATATCAAACAATTGCTATTGTAGTCTTCATAAAAGTGGCCAAGTATTTCTGGAATTGGCATAAACTAATCATTAGTGATAGTTTTTGAATTGGACAGGTTTGCCAAACTTATTAACAGATTTTATTTCCTTTAACTGAAATTATCTTCGAATATTTTCATTTTTCTTATTTCATCCATCATGCTGGAATGTTCCAGTGAATATTTTCAAGTGAACACTATTATTACAAGTCTAATGAGGTTTAGGTGACTCTTGAAAAATTCTGAAAGCTATTTTTTTTAAATTCCTACTTTTATTTATCTTGATTTTAATTATAAAACTTTTTTTCAAGAAGCTGCACTTTAAAAGTGATATTTTTCATACATGTTATAGGAGGTGGGCATTTAACAGAAGGATTTTTTAAGGTGAGAAATGCGCATGTTTTGTAGTTTGCTTTGACTTGTTTATTCCAACTGGTGTTGTGATCATCGTTTTATGAAACATATATTCTGAACTCAGATAAAAAGTGCTCTGATTTTTATCTTTTTATCAAGTGTGGTTACTATAACCTGCTATTGCTTGTTTTACGAATATGATATACAATTCTTATAGGAAAGTTATCCTGAGATCGCACACGAGCACATTTCATAGCAAAGGGTTCAGGGTTCAGTAGAGAATTGGAATAATTTAGGAATATTTTTATAATGGATTTCAGAGCCCATAAAACCTAGCGTTACTATCTCAAGCGTTAGAGGATTTTTATTAATGAACTATCAAAATTATCAGATGGCGATTTTCGTTGCAGTAAATTTTTATTGGGTTTTTCTTTTGTTTCAATAACATTTGAAGGCGCTTGTATAATGTTTACGAGGGCATCCAGCGAGGAACGTCTTAGGATGGCTGTTCGAAACGCAGAGCGCGTATATATTTTAAGGGAAGAACGACCTCCATTCGAAACATCGGTTAGTTCTGTCTGCTGTATGCCTTTCATTGTTCGTGCGGTGTGGGAGAGATTTCATTGAAGATCTAAAATGAATTTCTTTATTTTCTGCTGTTAATTTCAAATTCCACTCTAGTTTTTTAATTTCTCATTCTCCTTTTTAATTTAGCCAATCGGACAATTAAGCTTAACTAAGAGATTCAATCTTAGTAGTATACCACTACATTACAGAAGATTCTATGCACACTAGATGTATAGAATTTCATGTGTTTGTTGGCAATTCCATGTAAGACATATTAACATTTGTTCGCCATTTCTATTTAATTTATTACTGGGTTAGTTTTTGAGCTAATTTTTTTAAACAAGAAAATTTATAAAAAAGTAATTCTTATGGAGAATTATCAAAAGGTTTTGGTTTACTGTTTTAGGATAACTTCGAGTGGAAACATGGCTGTTGGGATCCACGTACGGTTGGTTTGTCAATCGATTCCACGCCAAGAAGTGCCCGAAGTGTTCTAAGGCTGATCAAAGAAGTATATATATTTATATATTGTCTATATATTGTCCTTTATAACTTTTTTATATGCGTAACATCTTGGTTAGTCACTATTTTACATCTCTGTTTTATGTTTCATAGATGAAAGAGCTTAAAAGAAACCCAGTGAAACACTGTCGAGCTGCACCGAGAGCCGATAACATTCACGAATGGACAGCAGTGATTAACGGGCCCGAAAATACCGTTTACGAAGGTGGTACTTTTTTCGTGCAGATGTTTGTACCGCCAACATATCCTTTTAATTCACCCAAGGTATTTTTTTGCAACTTTAATGAATGATTTTTATGAAGCAATTTTTTCGATTTGTTGTTATAAAAGAAGAGCCTTATTCAAAAAAGTTTTATGCATACTATAGGTGCAGTTCTTAACAAGGATATATCACTGCAATATCAATCGCCACGGTGTCGTTAATATCGATATTTTACGGGATCGATGGAGTTCTTCTATGACAATTGCAAGAATTTTACAGGAAATAGTTGCTCTTCTATATAACTGCAAACCTGGTATGTTTTTTCGAACTTCTAATTTTTCTTCGACATTATCATCTTAAGTAGTAGTGGTTATTATTGATTTTTCTTTCATATTGTGATCTTTCATTTAGTTGGCTAATGAAAACATAAAGAATGTTTGTTTCATATATTGTAGATGTTATTCAAGTTCAAAGGTTAGATGAATCCATCAACCTTATAAGTAATAAAATATTTCTAGAAAATGCTTTACTGGAAAATATTGCGGAACAGTATGTGAACAACCGAAAGGAATTTGATGCTACAGCACGGGTATGGACATTACGATTTGCTCAGTGATCTGTAATGTTATTATAGTTTAAAAACTTTCGTCTCATCTTTTATTTCATAGTGTGTTAAGTAAATGTGTGACTTCTTTACTTCATTTACTTATTTTGCTTTTAAATCTGAATAAAAAATTTCACAAATGCCAATGCAAAATATTATATTGATTTTTAGAATTGCACATATTGAAAGCTTTATGATCGCATATCTTACGTCATTTGATGTGCTGAGTGAAGTACTCATACAAGATGTCTTTTTTGTTATTTTTATTTTGCACTGTGGGAGATAATTTTTCTCTTTCATTTAAAATTAATTAGTTGTAATAAATTTGTTTTATAATTTCGTCATTCAGTATATACGTGTTTGTTATTTTTTCACATAATATTTCAATACCTAGTGAATGAAATGTTTCTTTCGTGCTTTGTACATTCTCTAACTAAGGTTCTTGTTCTTATTTGATTCGAATGCAATTTTGCAATTTAATTTTGGCAAAAGGAGGGATCTTTATTTCTTAGTAGATGCATACTTTGCCGACATTTCAGTTGTTGATATTCTTTGGTCGCTAAATATACATTCATTTTGGTTCAGGGGTTTCAGATATTTATATAAACTGTCGTGGTGAACAGTCACTTCATTACGTTTTACAAAATTGTGAAACATCAGAAATAGCGAATGAATAGTTTGGAAGGAGCACGAGTAGCTCTGCTGGCATGCGGTTGTTACAACCCGCCAACAATTATGCACCTTAGGATGTTCGAAAGTGCTCGTGATTTTTTGGAAGTTCGCTACGGATGCGAAGTGGTTGAAGGAATTCTAAGTCCAGTTGCTGATTATTTTGGCAAGCCTGACCTGTTGCCTGCAACACACAGGCAAATAAATCTTTTCAGCTTTTGATAATTTTTGATAATCAGATTGCTTATGGAAAATTGTAATTTTTTTATTGGTAAGAAATCTACTATTGATCGTTGTGGCCTGCCACATTTCTATATGTGGTGATGCCAAAAGATTTAGGAGAACAATTATTTGAGAGAATTGAAGTGATATCCTGTTTCCGTTGCATACGGGAATCCTTTTTATAGTTGCGGGACAAGAATTGTCTCAAAAAAAAACCCAATATCACTTTTTTCTAATCCCACAATATTTCAGGTATAAAATGTCGGAATTAGCAGTGAAAAGTTCAACGTGGATTCGAGCTGACCAATGGGAGTGCACTCAACAACAGTGGACCAGAACACTTTTAGTTTTGCTACACTTCAAGCAGGTGTTAGATCGAAAATACAATAATGACACACGATTGCGTTTGATGTTGTTATGTGGTGGTGATGTTGTGGATTCATTTAAACGATTGACGACTGAGGGAGACTATCTGTGGGATCCTGAGGATATTGGTGCAATTATAAGAGATTTCGGTATGTAATAAATTAAAATTGAGCAGAAATGCAACTCTTTTAAGGAAATTTTATGCATGATATTTTGCATGACTTATTTTTTTTCTAATAAATATTGAAATACTGCTTTTGATGTGAGAACAACATAACGCATTGCAGGTTTAGTAGTACTGGCAAGGAAAAATTCAGAACCAATAAAGACTTTAAGTCAACTTGGCTATAATGGCCAATCACTAGCGAACGTGTTTGTTTTCGAAGATGCTGCTTTACCTAATGATATAAGCTCTACGCGTTTACGAGCTGCAATTCGACGTGGTGAATCAATCAAATATTGTACGATGGATTCAGTAGTGGATTACATTAGAAAACACCAGCTTTATCGTGTCAAGAATAATCAAGCCGGAAACTGTTCTTAGTAAGTTGTATTTAAATTGTCTTTGTGCATTATGTCTTTTTATTTTATTGTTTTATGTATTTTAAAGCGGGTAGAGAAAGAAAATTTAGTCAAAGAAATTTGTTTAATGATCTCTCCAATTTTCGATTCATTAGTATCTTCTACTCTTTATTGAACTGCCAACACGAAACATGGCGAGAGCTCGGCGCACTATTATTCATTTATTCAGGAGACTGACAATTGATGAGACAATTTGCCCGTTTTAAGTTTTTAATAATGTCATAAATTTAAAATCAGTCTTTGACTCTAATATATAAATCACTCTTATTCTTGTCAGGTTGTTTAGTCTGACCAAATCTCATGTCTTTCAATTTTGTTCCATTGGATTTGAGGATTTTTTATCTTTTTGAAGCACTCGGCTGTTGTCGGTATAAAGTGCTTCCCTTGATTAAAAAAATTCCGTTGCTTCCAGTGAACATGGAGAAATATAAGTTTTCTAGTATTTGAAACCTCCTCGCTTTGCACATATGACATTAATTATTAAGATCATTTTCAGGAAATTTTGAATTCATGATTTTAATATTGTCTTTATTTAATAGTTCATTCATTCCACCAAGTGGACTGATAATTGTTTCAGGAATTTTTTAGATTGATAATTTCTATATTGATATGTTTGTTATTAAAATGGAAACGCAGACAAATTTTTTAGGAATTTTTTCTTTTTATTGTACCTGTTTCTCAAAAAATACGGGTTTTTGTCATTTTTAGTACATTCAAAAAGTTTTACTGTTTCACTTTGCCACAATGCTCACTATTTAATTTTCTGCAAGCATTTTGAAAGTGCTCTACTACATTTTCTTTTTTTTAATTATCTTGAACGGTTGCTTTATATTTGAATGAAATTTCCTAAGCACTCTGTAAGTCTGTTTCAGTTTTTCTTTAACTGACGATCAGAACGGAAAGATTGTTTGTTTGCCCATTTTATTAATTTTGTTACTAAATGTCGTTGATGTTTTGTAATTATTTTTTAACGGCCATAAATAAACGTTTTATATTGTTTAGGGTGTATTAATTCTTTCAGTTTTCTTCTGCTCTATTTTCTCATTTTCAGATCCAGCTATCCCTTTCATTATTGTAGGTGCATTTCTGAGAATATTCATGGAATTCACTGTTTCATCAACTTCAGCGGAAGTTGTTTGATTGGTATGCCATTTGCACCGCTGCAGCTGATAACTTGCTTGATTCGTTTTAGATTTCTGAACTGCTGAAATGTATGGTCTTGGAGATAGCTGTCAGTTCTTATAATGAATCAGAAATGCTACTTTTGTCCTTCGAAATAAAATCTAGCGTTCAAAGATATAGGATAGTGTAAAACTGTTTGGGATGTCAATGATGGCAGAAGTGTTGATTGATTCCAGTCTTTTCAAACAGTTGACACTAGCAGATATTGACTGTTCGAAAAGTAGTTACGTAGGGTTTTTCAGATTTACAAATTTGGCCGATACGAAGTGAATATATGTTATTACGGGGATTAATATTTATATGAGCAGTTAGTTTAATGCAGGAAGAGGAAGAATTCGTCTCGGACCTTGTAGAACAAGGCGTCCCTACAGCTGAAGTGATGGTTAGTAATCAAGAAAAGCTATAAATATTCTATTTAAAGTTCAGTGAATTAGAAAATTCCTGTTTGTGAATATACATTTTTCTGTGTGCTGCGGCATAATTTAAGTGATTTTGATTTCCATATGATATATAACTAATTTTAAGCTATAGCGGCTGAAATGAAGTTGCTGCAACATGTGTGTTGGCTGTAAATTTTGTTTTTGAATGAAATTGCAATACACAAATCCAAGTCCGGAAATAGAACAGGAATGTTGCAGCATAAGTGACGAACCAATAATAAGGAAGAGAAAGATTATTGCATATCTTTGAAGATAAATTCTGTGTAGCAATAAATTAGTTCCATACTGTATTCTGGTATGTTCAGATTATTTTGCATTTTCAGGAGGATGTTGAAGCTTATTTAAAAAAAGAGGGTAATATCAGCATAGATGAAGGCATTAAACGTTTAGAAGCAATTTATAGGAAGTACAAGCAGGTTGAACAGCAATTAACTGAACAGAAATTACGGTACTGTTTATATATATTTACTTTTTATATATATTTACTTTTCAAGAGCTTCCTATATTACGAGTATAAATGGACGATTTTACCTTTTATCCGGAACATTTGATTCCGGAGTGAAAGCCTACTTTTCAGTTCCTTCCTATTTTTTTTCTACTCATTTTCCCGTTTTCTGCAAGAATCACCCCGATCTGATCCTGTAGTATGGTGTTTTTCTTCAACTATGATTGGAAAAACCACTACATTTCAGCAGCTATATTACGGTATGCTGTAATGGTTTCTTAACAACGTAAGTGGAAATGTTCGTTACGAATTCACTAACTTCTACTAATGTATGCTTTCAGCCCATATCTTTTTACAGATTGGTTTCGAAGCTTCCGGATTTAAAAAAATCGGTCGAAGTTGTCAATCATTTAGAAGAGAAATCGGTATGTTCGATTTATAAATTTCACTCGTATCTGCGTTCGAAAGTGGGCTTTTAATCTAAAATCTTTCTTTTTTATAATATACATCAATCTGTCCTTTAAATTTGGTATAAATCTTGAAGTTTTTTTTGAATCTCTTATTAATTTTTCAGAAAAAAAAGGAAACCGTGGAAGTGACACATTTGCTCAGTGATCATGTTTACCAGCGGGTGAAAACAGATTCACTTGATAAGGTAGTTAAATATGCCTTAATTCGTTTGTCTCAGTAAATCGTACATCCACTCATTAGTAGAATTCAAGTGATTTAATGCCGAAAATTAATTAAGGTACTTCTGTGGCTTGGTTCTAATGTTATGGTAGAATTCAGCTTGAGCGAAGCACGATGTATACTTGAAGATAATTACAAAAGTGGTGAGTCCCAACTCTCTGTTATTTGACAAATTGTGTATAATTATCGGAAAATGTTTATACCTTTTTTATTCTTCGGATTCAAGTAACTTTTCTCTGTTATTAAATTATTTTATTAAAATGTTAGTACTACTTCACTAGTGGCAAAGTGATGACTGAATCCCTGACTTATGGTTATGGTATTTTCGCCCTGCACAAAATATGACATAGGTTATTTTTCTCCAGGGTAATGCATAATACTATTAAATTCTATTTAGCAAATGATGGAGTGGCGAAGTACGAGAAAGAGTTAGCATTCCTTAAGGATCAAATAACGACAACGGAAGTCAACATGGCCCATGTTTACAACTATGGTATTCGAAAAAGAGCAGGTCAATGACGTTTTTACAATTTGATATGTGATTTCAATCTGATATTAACATTGTGGAGCTTAAGTTTTTTAGTAGCATATTCTAACTGGTTTTACAGTAAATAACATTATCCTTTGAAATAAATATTTTCGAGTTGTGGATTTTCCAGCATCTTACTGTTAAATTTATTTTGGATGCGATTTTTAATCATTTTCCTATCCGTATAGACTTTTTTGCTAAATTTCTCGAAGAGTTATGGCCATTCCACTGTTCCAATAGTTGCTGAGCAAAAAAAAATATCTTGTATATCCTGTTAGTTCTTTTAAATAAAGCTCATCTTGAAATTCGTCGCTTATATAGAATATTTATTTTATAGACGATTTTCTTATTAGTTATTCTGTGTATCATTTTACAACGATTAGTGAGATGCAGCTTATCTCGAAATCTGCCACAGAACACTTGTGCACTAAAGTTGGGAGAACTTTACCTATTCCAAACAATACTAATAAAAAACATATGGATCATAGAACTGCAGTTTTTATCTACAAAATCTTCGAAAGAGAAAGTCAATAACTTTCCCTTTCAGTGGAAGACTACGCAATAAGAGGCAATTTAGGGATAAGTGATAGGCAAAAGGTAGAGAATGTAGGAAACTCAACTTCCAAAAAACCTGACAAGATGGGGAACCATAGGAGTAATTTGATGTAAATGAATTTAAAAATACAAAACGCAAACATCTCATATTTGGCACTTGTAAAACACTCATACATAGACAATCATTAATATAGTTTCGAAAATAATGAGGAAACAGAACAAGAAATGTACATAACACTTTTAATTCAGCAATGTTTTTGTTCTCCTACATTTTTTTTTATATTTCCAATTCAAATTCTCTGTATGGAAAAGTTTAGCATGAAAGATGAAGTACGAGGAACTTTACCGTATTTACCATAGATCAAATAGCCAAACTAGAAGTCGTTACCCAACTATCTGATATTTGTCTTGTGTGTTTTGTAGGAGAATATAAGAAACCGGAATTGTTATAAAATCATATGAAGAACAAAAATACAAATTTTTAAAAGTAATTTTCGGATGCAACTGTTATGCCTCTTGCTGGTACCAAATAACAACTATTATTGCAAAAATCCGTAAATTAAATATAATGATGCGAATAGGAAGGATTTTTGCAAGAATGGATGGCAGCAAACAATAGAAACAAAATAAGTAATGTCGAAATGTTACGAAATGTCACGACTCAGCATAAAAACGTAGAAAATTAATGCGTGGGCGAATGGAACAACTTTACGGACGATGGAACCTGAAAAAATTTATTATTTGATATAAGCAACTAAAAACTTCTTATCATTACCATTCCATATATTAAAAAAAATCCTCTTAAGATAATAAGTTTTTTCATTTATGTAAACTGAAAAATAGAGCTGTAAGAGACTACCGTGTAAATATGCGGCTTTCCTCGTGTACATCCATCTCCGTTGCCTTGAAATCGTTCAGTTCCTTCCTGATCAATGCCTGCAATAACACTACATAAATTATTCTACCAAATCAGTGGCTATAAATAGATATTTGAAAGAGCTAATTTTATCCATGAGACAAAAATTTTAAAACCTTATCAACTGAAGTCAATCTTGTCCAAGGTTTGTCTGCTTTTCGATCATATGCTTCTGCTTCTGTTACTTCCACATAATCATTAAATTTGATTATTTGCTTATCCTTCAACTCTTGTATTGTTGGGCGGAAACTCAGCTGAAAGAAACAAACATCCATGACCTCAATTTAAATTTGTCTACATAGTAAACTCCTATTAAATATACTAGTAAATTACGGGTAAGAAATGACGACTGAAATGAATACTTACTTTACGCAACAGGACTTTGCGCGTTTCATCCATGGCCATTTTGGAAGAAATCGAAGCGTCTTTGGCTCTCAAAATATTGCGTTGCTCCAGTTCTTCAACAGAAGGACGTTCACTTAACTTCCTGCAAATTTGACATACGTGCTGAGAAATTATTGGAAAACAACCCCATTAGCTTGAAATTATTTAATGATTGAAATTACTAACAAAGTATTTAATGCAAGTACAAAAAGAAATTTAACAAAAAGAAACCTTTCCAACTTGATACTTGCTTTGTGCATCAGTTGTCGTCTATCGTGGGATGTTTGATTCGGAATGTCATCGACAGGATCAGGCACATTTAACATCTTCGCAAATGTGTCCGTTCTGGTTACTCGTAATGCAAAACTTGCTGAAAATGCAGCCGCTAAAATAAAAATTGATCAAAACATGCTCCAGTATTTTAAGAGACAAAGCATACTCAGTGGGACATCTTCATCATCTTCACTAGTTAAGGGATACGGTACGATACGACTTGCAATGGCTGGATTCGTACTGTAACCAATACCATGACGTTTACTTAACTCATCATCACGGTACTGAATGTCTGTATCGCTATCGCTATCATCAGTTAATCTGGATGGTAACTTCGTCCCATTAGAGCTAAAATACGTCACAATGAGAAACTCGAGAAATCTCTTCAAAAATTGACATTCTTTCTTTTTGCCCAAAAATATTAAATGGAAAAAATTCCACCTCAATGCTTGCTCAGGACCATCAGTATCTACTGCTCCAGAAGTCCTTTCGCTCAATCGTAATTTTCGACTCGGTGTTCGTTTCATAAGTCTGAATCTACTAGGTGCACCAGGTTTCTTTAACACAGGTTTATTTGGTCGAGCTGACAAATCAGGCTCTTTCGCAATAATTTCTTCAACAGTTGCACTTTTCATTTCTCTGAGATCCAATTGGAAAGTATTGTATTCCTGATCGGTAAGCTGCTCACAATTTATGCTTTCTCTACTTTGATTAAGCTGTCCTGCTGCAAAAACAACGCAGAGCTAAAATTATTTTAAGAAAAAAATGGCAACAACGAAAAGTTCTACAAAACGTAACAAGTTTCTCATATTTTCAGAAATTACCTTGGGTTGTAATGGAAGCGGCTTTAAAATCTACCAAATTTCCTGCCGTAAGATAACCAACATTTGTTTCCACGGCTTTGATACTCGCTAAATTATTTGAAATAGGTGCATCTCTGCGCTCAACAATTACAACTTTTTGAACTGGTGGTACAACTACTTCTTCAGTAGTCAAGCGAAGAATATTTTCAGCAGAGTTCCCTCTGAAATCTAATTGGATAAAACCTTTTCAGCTGAATTAGAGAATTCGAAGCAAATGTTGCACTAAATGATTATAAAAAGCGAATATATGTTGCTTAACAAGCGAAGCAAAAGTTGCATTAAATAATTATGGTCAAAATTTATAAAAATACTTATATGAGAGTTGTCTTACCCCTTTAATGAATCCAAATTTATTCGGACAGGTTCTTGAGTTAGCGAGTTTAAACAATTCCATTGTGTCGGCCTGTATGTCTCTGTAATAAGTTAAAAAAATAAAATTAATGTATTCAAATAATCAATACAGAGTTTTTATAACGAATGATAATTGAAAATTTAAGGGAATAGATTTCAACCAACACTTACACCTAACGAGCAAACGAAATTATGTGCAGAAACGCGAATTAAACGTTCAAATACCACGGATTATTAATATTTGAGTAGATTAAGACGATTAAGACGCGAAAGAGTCTCTAAAATAATAGAGTAAAATGATTGCAGATTGCTAGCTCCCTTGTCTTCAGCAAGCCACAAAACTTTCTCTATAGCTAAATGTATGATTGATTAACCAACTGAACAGTTGCTTCAAAGATTATAAGGGCAGTGCAAATATCACAGTATTCGCTGCACTTTTTCACTCTATGTGAACACATATTCAAGCTGGTGGAGAAAGCATTCATCGCAAGCATAAATTCCTAGTCACCGTATAATTTTACAACTTTTGAGTTGTGGATAACAGTATCAAACAATAGAAAACGTGTCGATGACTGTAAATTGATGACATTTCAACTGCTCAATTAGTTGCACTATCGATAGTGATCAGGGATACTAACAAGCAAATACTAAATGAATGCTCAAAGTTATAAATAATATTTCTTAATCATAGCTGGACATTATCTGATTTGAAATTATTACCGATGCCCTCTCTAATACTATCCATCAAGCAAAACTGGTAGTGCTAAAGCACCTGCAAAAGGTCTTCAAACTGATTAATCTAACAATGAACCCTTTAATCTTTCTAGAAGATGAACCAAATTCCAATATTACTTAGACTAGCGGTAAATTGCTATAAATCACTTAATTTGAGCACCACAGATAACACTATACTGTTGGCAAATTGACATAGTGATTATACCAATAATGTTTGTTTTATAAGCTAATCATTAAAGTTCTACCGCAAAGTTTCAAATACCTGTAACTGCATCACTGCAATCTTTTTGATGGATTAAAAAAGATGTAAACTTCACAGAAAAGATAACTTTACTGCATTATTATAAAAAAATATACGAATAAAAAATTAGGAGAAAAAAATTGATATTAAGAAAAATATGCACAAATAAGCCGCTGGAACACCCAAAATTTCTTACACAGTCTGAAATTTACTACTCGTCTACAAAATAAATGCATCAGTAAAAAAACATTTTGAACAATTACAAGAATATTTATTCCCTGAAAGAGAGAAAACAAACCATCAACATCTGGAACAGAGAAAAGTGATTCCACAGTGCTGAAAGATGTACGTATGATAGCAGGGGGCGAATTTTCTTGCCTATGATCACTTGTAACTCGTCTAAAAAGCAGTTGTAGTAGTGTGATTAAAGTTATAGCAAATATATATAGTTATAGAGACTTCAAGCTTATAGCAAATATATATATTTATAGACTTTTGCTTTTACGAATACCACTGCTTTGAATTTTCCTTTTCCTTTTACACTCAATATGCAATTTCCAACAAGAGAAACTACTTGCCAAGCTCATTGGCTGGATTTAGAAAAATAGCACTCGAATGAATATACATCTTGACCTTGTCATATTCATATGCTCCGAGGAAACTAGTATGTTAATGTATGAGTACTAATTTTATAGCAATACATAAACAGTACAACAAAAAATGATGGCAACACTAACGTACCTATCAAGTAATGATACAAACAAGAATTCGAGCTGTTCAGTGATATAAGAAGTACAAGCAGTATTTCACTAGGCTTCTGCTAATATTAAAAATATTTCTGAGACGCTTTCTTTCGAAAGTAAAATCTATAAAATCTCAAAATAAATTCTAAAAATATGAACTAACCGTAGTCGTTCTCTGTGATGCCTTTTTCGCCACTTCCACGGTCGAAAAATTCGTAACCAAAATTTGCCTGATTTCAACGAACTGCTAAACACATGATAAGAATGTTTCCTGCGACTATATCGTGACCTGGAAAACCATTTTTTTGTTTTCGAGCTTTGAAAAAACAAAAGACTTTTAAAAGACTTTCTAATTTTTTTTTTATTGATATTTTTTCTTTGATTTACGAAATTATTTTTATAAAGCACCATTTCCTGGAATAACAAAAATTAGACTGCTTCAGAGAATGATTTCGTTGAGAAAAATTTCACTTACTTGTTAGTAGTCCTATCGGGATTAAATTCCACGTTAACGGCTGCTATATTCTCACTTGTCTGTTCAAAAACTAAAACAACTTTATCTGGTGAGTTTATGCTGCAATTTGAACGACAGAAATCAAATGAAATGATGAAAATTGATTATGTCAAAATGTAATTTTCCAGAGACCCCTTGAAAGTATAAATATTTTAAATTGAGCTCAAAATGTAATTTTCCAGAGACTCCTTGAAAGTATATAAATATTTTTTAAATTGAACTGCTAAACACATGATAAGAATGTTTCCTGCAGACTATATCGTGACCTGGAAAACCATTTCTTTGTTTTCGGGCTTTGAAAAAACAAAAGATTTTTAAAATATTTTCTATTTTTTTTAAAGACTTTCTAATTTTAAGTTGAAAGCTAAACCATTCACTGTTGCATAATTGGAATCTGTGCAATCTTTAAATCAGAGGTCGTAAGATACAGATGAATGAAACAATTTTCGCGAACAAATCAAGCATTAGCCAACTAGAAATTTTAGCTCGAAATTAACTTCCTAGATAGATAGATAACTTATTAATCTTATTATTATTATTACCTTCTTATTATTTGGGAATTTTTAAAACTGTATTGAGATGTAAAAGATATCACCTCCTGTATTTTTTGATTCATTTGTTTTCCTTTGTATGTCTGCTTTCGTCTCAAGTTGAGATTTTAACATAACATCATAAATTTTGCTTTCTGAATATTTTGAAATTGCAGTTGGCCTGAAAATACGGATAAATTCGCACCGCATGAGAACCAAATGTTATGATGAAGTGAAAATGCTGTAACAGCTTAGATCTTTATTCCCTTTAAAGTGTTATCTAGTCTATCTATAATTCAATAGATATCTGCAATATGGCGTTCAAAACTATTGTTTTGAGGAAAAATGGATGAACGACTTTACAAGTGAAAAGAGTTAGTTGTGTTACCTCAAAGTTTTGACTTTGAGCTACTTTCACGTATATTGGAACAATACCTGCAAACAGGAAAATGATTCAATTATTTGTAAACAAATTCTCAAACATAAAGAGAAATGGGATTGAAAATTCAAAAGATAATAAATGTATGAAAAGTGATGCGTAGGTGACGTAAATAACGAAGATAAGATAGGTTGAATTGGATTTCGGGAAGCGCAAAATGTGAACCACACTCAGCAATCACTTAATCATCAATGAACCTGTCGATTGATATCCCTGACCCAGTCAACCCACCACACTGGATACACGTAATACCAGACGCCTCCAACCTGAACCACTATGCCACAAATACTACCGTAGTTTCCAGGCTCATGCGACGAATATGCATTGCTTGGTTTCTGTGAAAATGATTACTCATCTTCCGAATCACTGAGACATCTGACGATAAGAATTACTGAATGGAATTGTCCTTTCTCATCTATCATTTATTCAGGTGATATTTATCATCAGTTATTCCACTTGTTGAACCATAACATCGATTTATCACTTTCTCTCTTATTCTCTGTCTCTGTCTCTGTCTCTCTCTCTGCTATTATATCTTAATGTTGTCACATGATAATTACGACGATATTGAAATGATCAATTGTTAATCCTAAACTTTATTTCCTCTACCTTCAGGAATGAATATATTTATTTATCAAATTAAGCACAATATTAATTTGATTAATTTTTCTAAATAACATCATCGAATGAGAAAAAAATGATCAAATATGATTATGAATGACAAAATGAAATGAAAGAGTTGTAAAACTGAATTTTCCAATTTAAAGAGTTTAAAAGTTTTAGAAAAGGACAGAATTTGATTTGAAATAATATGTGAGTGGTAATTGCTAAATTGTAGTATAGTTAGTTCAAAGATCATTGAAACAATGGATAACAAGGAGAAAAAAAGATTGAATCATGGCAGCAGCAATTATTTCGCAGTAAATTAAGAACAAGCAAAAGCAATAATTAAAAATATTTCAAATTAATGTAAAAAAAATCTCAGAAATGAAAAATTCAGATATGAGAGGCTGTCAGGAAAGATACGAGAACTTCATTAAAAATAGTAATGATTTCCACAAACAACCATCATCTTCTCCTCTATTTCATATCTCTTCTTGAAAAAAAAACCGATAATTTCACCAATATTTATTTTTAAAATACATTGATTATCAGCAGTTTTGGTAATGATGCTGTTGTTGTTAATAAATTAATTATTCGAAATCAGCGAATTTTTTTTTGAAAAGTACTTTTCTATAGGATTAAACAGAGATATGAAGTTGATTAGGTTTGTATGTTTAAAATATGTTAGGATTATTTTCTTCAAACAAGTACGATTGGCCTGATGAATTATATAAATGATTCATCTATGTAAAAGAAAATTTTTAAAATAGGAAAAAAACACAAAATTTTCAAATCTTTGAAGTGCTTTCAAAATTTTCATTGTTATTCAGTATTTCATCAAGTAATGACATTTTTCAAACTGTTTAACAAGTAATTATTACAACGAATTAACTTGTCAAATTGATAATAATTCTATCACTTGCTCACCATTTTTGGAGTGTAAAGTTTCGATATGTACTTTAAACAGAAAAAGCGGCTGTCGTGAAAGAATTTTTAGAAATTGCCAAAAACAACATTTGATGCGATAAAAAGAAATTGTAACGGAGGGAAAGCTATTATAACGATGTTATTCAATCGTTTTCACTGAGCAAGTACAATAACCATACTTTAGAATCAATTCAAAAGGTGCGGAAACATTTCATCTATTTCAACATTTCCCGGTGAAACAACAAGCGCCAATCATAATAGCAGAAATTTAAGTTAATCAAATAAAGGTAACAAGCAAAAGTGAAGGAGGAGAGAGGGAAGAGGCAACATTATTTGTGTCTGCAACTTGCAAGGGGCATTATCATTGTTAGGTGTCCCATGACGGTAATGTAAAGATGTCCCATTTCTCAGCGCAACATGTACCTTCCCTGATGCACAACACACCTCTACGTGTAATCACTCACAACTCTTTTGATGATGATACCTGAAGATACCTGAACTGTTTTCATGAAAATGTCTGATTCATCCATCCGTCACTATTTTTACATTCTTACAAAATGATCAATTTGCGAAACTTTTGATTGTTGTAAAATTTTCCAGCATCTCGATGGAATTGCTTTTTCAAGAAAATTCATAAATTTCATTTCATTTATTTAGTTAGGTAAAAGTTTTATTTTTTCATATCAAATATATATGTAAAATTTTAATAGCAAATTCACGAGATGAATATTTTTTTGAAGGAATAAATGAAATTTTTTTTCTTGAGAAAGAAAATAAATAATTAATTACCAAATTATGCAGCACTTAAATCAAAAGACTTGAAGAATTCTGATTCTTTCTTTCTTCAACTTGTGCAATCCCATGTAGATAACGATGAAATGAATTACAATGTATAATCATACAAACGAAGAGAAAGTAGTGAGCAGTAGTAGCTATTTCTATTAAGTAATTTCTTCTTTTCACTGAAGATTTAGAATTCTAGAATCCAAACTTGCATCGTTTAAAAATGGAAAGCGAAATGATGATAATTTAGTTTGAATTGGTATTTTTGACATCTCTTCTGAATTGCTGTTCAAATTGAATACTGACTTTTAACACTTTAAAAGAAAAGTTTAAAAGTTAGGAAATCACTAGAATGTAATAAAATAATCTCTTAATAAGTTATTCTAAATTTAGTTGAAGAAAAATCGTGAGTTTATGTAGAATTGTAGTGGATGATAAAATCTTATTCTGGAATGTTTATCGTTGATAACTGATCTCATGGTTATGAACAAAATGTTTATAAATATAGTGAATAAGCTTTCGGTGATAACATGTGAACAATGGTGACAACATATTAGGATGAATTTTGTGTAGAATTGTCTTCGATGATAACAATGAGACGGAATTTTGGAGAGGTAACATTTTTCCGAACTGAAGAATGAATTTCATAAATATTACATCTGAGAAGCCTAATTTTTCGCTTTTTCCAGCTTCTCACCATATTTTACGCTCGAATTTAAAGAAATTTTTGCATTATAATTCTTCAAAAAATAATGAGTTGATGTTAAAACATAAAACTGATGGATGATGTTTTGTTTAATATTTGTTATGAAAAGAAGTAAATATATGGAAGCCTGCATTAATGGCAAAATGAAGTTCAGAAGCGAGATGAGAGCATATAAAAGGTAGGAAAAGGAAATGTGAAATTAGAAATAAATATAAAATCTATGCTAATATCTTATAAAAGTAAAAGATAGAATGATTCATAGATGAATTGGTGCAAGATAGAATGATTCATAGATGAATAGAATGATTCATGGATGAATTGATCAGCAAATATTGTATCATATTCATCATGGAATCAAAACTAGAGAATTGGTAATGATTGAAGTTGAACAATCCGGAAATATTTGTGTTATTGTTCAAAGAAAGAATTAGAGTATAGTAAAATGGACATTTACGAGGAAAACGGTACTGTCATGTAGTGTTATTAGATAAATTTATTTCTGAAAAGATCGATAATTAAAGCTTGTTTAAATCATTTAGAGTTTGTAGAGAATATAGCGTTATTTATAGAAATATTTTCTCAATAATTTGCTTCTTCGTTTTAATCAATGATAAATAGTAATTTGTCCTAAATGGTGAAGTTTGTAGAATAAACAAGCCCCTGACAAATTAAATGATAGAATTGAAAATAAAATAATAAAATTTGGAGAAGAGGAGAGGTTAAAGATTTCGAGGTGTTGTTGCGGAAAAAGGAAGCGGTCCTATGATATTATGACGTGGGGACACTGGCTGTTTATAATACTGCGCTTAATTTGAACACCAGAAAACTAGTTTTCTCGCAATTCTCGCATGATAATGGTGAACTGTACTTGCTATAAATGTTACCTATTTACTATCGCTCTTGCACAAATATCCTTTCTACTCTCCCTATTAAGTGTTCAAAAAACATAAATGATTTCCTTTGGTAGACATAATCCAACTATCCAAAATTACATCTTGGGCGAAAAACAACATACGGAATAGATAATTAATCATAAAATCCATGTTCAGGGTATTAAATACCAACGACTGAGATACCACGGTACGACGGAAAAAAGCCTTTAGGTACTCCAAACAAACCTGAGAAGAAAATCTGAATACAAGCAGAACAAATTCAGCAAAGGTTTTACTAGCTATGCTAACAAACAGTAATTTTGAAAGTAAAGTCAGTTCGAGGACGTCCATTGAGTCTGTTGTTGACAGATGTCCCCTTTGACAGATGTCTGTTATTGTAAATACCATTTCGCTCTGGAATGAGCTATTACTAGAAAATATACAACTCATCTTTCTCCTGATTTTTGCACCTCAAAAGTTGCATGGACAACTCTATAAAGATGTGTCAGTTATGGTGAGATTGATAAACTCATAAATGAACAACGGATTTACCTGGCATACATCTCAAATATGTTTAATTATCTCCTTACAAATTTCCTCTTTTCTCCCATCTGCAGGCACTCTTGGTAACACATAGAATGCTTATCAGACTATGAAATAAATTATGCTATAGCAAGTGAGCAATAGTAACTCTTCTGAAAAATCGCTAGCAATATTTCCAAAAAGTGATAACTTCTCATGATAAGATTGCTGAAATGTTGGAAAACTTTGACAGTGCATCCGGCACTACCAGACTTATCACTCCACAAGAAAAATTTATCACAAAAAAACATTTATCAATTTTCATCGTTTATTGAAAGAATTGTTAAAACTGTTTCGAACATTATGTAAGAGAACGAGAAAATATCTAGCTTGGTATCACCACAAAGAGAAAGAAAAGAAATCAAAAAAGAACACGAAAATATAAAATGTTGTCGCTATAAAATTTCATCACCGTAATATCTGAATGAAGATGAATGAAAGCACAGGAAATAACAAATATCAGAAATTGAAACTATGAGTCAATCACTATGTAGTTTTCTTCATAACAGATTAAAATACTCAGAAATATATCAAAACACAGACACAAATTTCGAGACCCCTGATATTTCTTTCCGTATAATCTATAGATCTTGAACCCTTACTTGAAAAGATCATACAGATTCATGAAAAATGCAAGAAAAAATTGAATGAAAGAGCGGAAAATTAACCTATGATGAAAGATATTAAAAATTCTTTGATCATTTACTAGTAAGAATCACAGGGACACCACTGATACTACGTTTGTTTTGTCCAAATCTAGACGACAGACCGGGCATTTTTTATTGTATACTAGCCAGCGATCGATGCAAACAATATGAAATACATGATTACAGCGAAGAGCTCGAACTTCTTCGTCCGTTTCAAAATCATTGAGACACACCTGAAGGATTTTTGTGAAACGCTTTTAGAAAGATTAATAATTAAAAATGTACTGATACCAATGACGGCGGGAAATATGAACTGACCGTGCAGCGTTCCTGTTCATTTTCAGGAATATCATTCTCTTTGATATATTTGTAGGTAGTGGAGAAACGGTTGATTTGTTCAACAGTTGCTCCAATTGGTACAGGATCATTGGAAGTGGGGACACTGCCACCCAAAATGACAGTTGGATCATGTGGCTGCAACAGAACCTGAAACCAAAAAATTCTTTTTATAAATGAAAAAATGAAAGCTAAAAAATAACTGAAACAAAATCAAACAAGACTGTAAATCATAAATACCATAGCAAGCTCCATAATGGGCTGATGGTGGCGGGGCAAGAAAACCACTGGTTGAGATGCTAAACGTCTCGGGACGATATCAACACCAATCAGATTACTTGACGCCAAAGAATGCCGTTGAAACCACAAATTGTTGGCCTGCTGTTGACGCTCGATTTGTGCCACACGCGATGACAGCAACAAATCATGTACTGGATTCATATCAGTCTCACGCCTAAAGTAAGGTCTGACTAGATAAAGTTATATTTAAAATTCCATATGGATATGGCACACTGATGAGGAATCCATTCACTACAAAAAAGACAAAGGCTACCTGTAACTACTGCCAGATTCATTCCGCTGACAAAAGCACATCGGATGACGCGGACAAATATGATGATGGTTGTGATATGGACAGGACTGATAAGGACACTGGTAGGTAGTGCGACTGCGACAGTCACAACAAAATGTTGTATTCAAGCCTGGCCTACTCTCTATCATGTTTCTCTCGTCACCTCGGGCTCTGGAAAAAAAACAACGTAGTGAAAATAAAGCTGCTAAAAAAATGGTCGTGTAAAGAAAGACATCTTACTCGATATGTCGATGAGAAGCCAAATACGAAGTGGTTGCTTCTGAAGCAGGTTCAACACGGCGTATTTTCTGCAGACGAATATTTGCTGCACTATCAGGATCAGTTAGCGGAGGATGACTGGTAGTGAGCTGTTCACCAGATCGCTTTAATCGCATCACTGACGATCGAAGAGACGGTAAAGCTAAGGTAGGTGGTAAAGATGATACCTACAAAAAAATGCACATTATACATACGCTGAAATGCTATTTTTGACTTCTCGAATGGTATCAAAGCTGTCACCAGTAAATCTGAAACAAAAATTAATTGAACCCACGCGAGCAGATGCAACATTGTTTGCTATTGTTGTTGGTAAAGTATGGGAATGGCTTTGCGATAATGTAGCAGGCAACGTACCTAAAATATAGAAGTGAGGCAGTAACTACAGAGAAGAATAAGGTAGATTCTAAAATAAAGGCATGAAATTACATGCTATTTTTTCTTCTACAAGCAATAGAACTAACGCAAAGATGAAAGTGAATGTGAAGCATAAGTGATTGGACGATGATGAAGCGCACATGGTTGAGCATAGATGCAGTGGCAAACTGCTGTTATTGGGGCAGCGGCCGACAGGAATGTACAAGGTGAAACTGGAGGTGCAGCTGAGGGACCAGTAATATATGCAGCTGTTAATGCTGATGGATAGATGAGTGGAGCGGCAAAGGCTGGAGTCTGCGTAAAAGCCGTTTCGATCACACCAGGAACCTAAAATTTCCATTTTAAATACTTAAACCCATTGACAATGAAAGTCTCAAATGATGCACGAAGCGGTTTAAAATGTGATAGGGCCACTGTAACATTCTAATTTTGCAAAACTTTATTTAGAAATTCTGAGGAAAAGGACCCCGACATATATTATAACGATGGAGCACATCCTTATCATAACGTAGGGAAAAATATAAAAATTTAGACATAAGACTCCACTGGTATAATAAAGAACTGACCTGTAGTGGTATGTAAGTTGCAGGACTGCCTTGCAAAGTTACGGAAGGCACTGAACCAGCCGTAAATGTTGGTCCAGAAACAAACGAAAGAGCTGTATTATGCGATGATATTTCGCTAGATGTTGGAACCCTATTCATCCCACTGTTCACAACACTCGTCTGCAAAACGCTGTTTGCATTCTCTATGTTTTCCTCCTGCAACGTCATTATGAAAAATTTTTTTCGTCCTTAAATGTTGTTCATTCCTATCAGTAAAAATTTACTAGAACAGACTCTGGGAACATCGCTATATAGCATTGACATGATTCAAGCATCAATCACCTCATTACCTGGAACTGGTAATCTTAATTGCTTCGTACAAAGTGGATCAGTTCATTTAAAAGAAATAATAATAAACATCGAAGACGTTGTCACGCTGATTATATAGCATATTCCTTTGGCTTACCCTCTCTTGCAAAGGAAACATCGTTCATTTTTTCCCATTTCTTGATTCCCACGATAAGCCTTAACATCGATGTAAGGATTTGTATCCCCTCAAATTACGCAAAGTGTTCAATCAAACGAGTACTAACTATTATCAGCTCGCTTGACAATCCGTTTATTTCTTGTGCCGTCCCATTCGAAGATGTCGTCTGCTTTGTCTGAGACATTTCCAAGGCAGCAGACCGAAAAGAAGCAACCGCCTGCAAAATCGTAAATAAATCACTAAACTGCTAATACTGCAATGTGCATCAAATTGAATGAATTAAAATTTGCATTTTCTAGTAGCTTAACAATATTCATAAAAGGAAGTCATCTTTCCTTCTTCCCTTTATTTATGCATCATGCGTCATAATATTATATTAAGAATCAAAAAATATAAAATTGAACAGTAAATGATTGACCCGAATTACTTCGATCTCAGACGTCACAAACTGCGTAATTCATGTACCGACTGACAGAGCAATGGTATATAGGCTTGCTCATAAATACTACCCTCTTTCGTAATCCTAATGAAAACCCTCCCGTCTCTTCAACAATCTCTCACCTCTCCGTCACTCACATCCTGCTATAACTATACACACGACTGTTTCGTATTCTTCCCATCTTTCGTTAACATTTTCTTCCAAATCTTACTAGGCCTTACCAATCTCTTAACCCGTGCCTACATCACTCCTAACAATATTCAGAAAACGAAGCCATCTCTCCTTCCTTCCTCTATTCATGTGTCATGCGTCATTATATTACAACTTGAAAAATTTCCTAACTCTCCGTGAGAGATTCCCCACTCACATTACTACCCATATCAATCATTATCGATCCCATCACGCATACCAATGCGATATCGCGAATAACAACTACGCAGGAACCTAGTTCGGAATCCGAGAGCACGCGGGGATATCCAATTGGAGCATGAATTTGATATAATATTAGGAGTATTTATTTGCACCTAACAAAGATAAATGAGTTTGTTTATTTTAAGCTGTATCCATTTTAACAAAACTATAGTATTACTGTATAGTCAATGAATAAATCAGTTGACAAAAAGGACATGTTATATGAGGGATAAGGACGAGTTATATGACAAATTAGTGGAATATTTAAAAGGAGAACATTTTGAATACTTATTAAACTTTATTTGCTTATATTTTTTCAAGAGCGTTTCGATCACCACCATAAGTTAATAAAATGATGGCATACAGTAATGCAGAAGATATATTTCATAAGTGATATGTTTCATTAAAAGAGATCGGAGATTATCTTGACACAAGCAATAGGCTTGAAAGTTTTAAGTAATATTCTCTTATAAGAATTGTTTAATGGGCTTAGATTGCCTTAGAATAACATGTTGATAACAATCACATAATGTTTTCAAGAAAAAAAATTCACTTCACAATTTTTAAAACAGTTAGGTGTATCAGTTAGACGGTGAAAATTAATTTTCAAAAAGAATGATAAATGGTTAGTAATCATTAACAGTGGACAGATCTAGACTGTAAACATGAAAGGATGTTTGAAGATAAAAAGTCAGTTATGAATATTTTTCAGGAACTGTGGACCTTAATAAATATAGTCAATTGATAATGTTGACGAGGTAAAAATGAATTCGTTTCGATCATATGTCTGGGATCCTGGTTTGATTATTTCCCAAATGATATGTATGCAAGCAACATTCTACACCGCTCAATGTATTCTCTCATTGATATTCTCCATTGGAGGCGATTATCCTTCGTTAAAACAAGTATTCACAATAGAGGTCTGTTGGTTCTACCACTCGTTTTAATTTCCATATCACTTTTGTCCCTGTGGCTTTTCCAGATCGCTGTATTTCCTACCTTCACTTCCTCCCTCATGCAAAATCGCCTCATCAGTTTCTTGTTTTATAAAAATGTCTGGAAAACTTCAACAATATCAAATAAAATTTGACATACCGCAGAAAGGGCTCTTCGAATTAGTCTTATATTAAGCGGTTAGATACCTAAGATTAAACTGACTACACTTCTATGGAAACTTGATATCAGTATAACTATGTATGATTCAGTGAAGACATAGATATTGGGAATCCGTCCTTTGAGGTTGGCTAAAAGGACAACAAAAGGATAAAAATAAGATCTTACTAGAGGAATAATATTGTAACATGTATTTTTAAGGATTTAGGTACTTTAACTTCTATCTACGAAATTTTGTATTCACTGTAAAAGAAACTGAATAAATAAATGAGGAATTTCTTTTCGTGGAAACATATTCATATGAATAGTTTAAGTCTTACAGATTCTCTAGCATAAGTTATTGGAAAGGCAACTGTAATGTCAATGCTTAGTTTTAGATTACATTACATGGAGCAGTCACTCAATTACTTTCGGCTGCAGTATGCTCTCTTATTATGAGTAAAGTTGTTGAACGTTCGAAACAGTGTCTCGATTTTACATGTACTTTACATTTTTGGCACTTAATTGTTGTTACTTTTTATTATAAATCAATTCCCATGCATATTTTCTGGTGGCTATTACAGTTTTTGAGTATTGTTTTGTGCACATTACTGGCTGAATATTTTTGTTTGCAACTTGAATCTAGGGATATCCATTTATCAACCAATTTAAGATACGAAGTGTAGCACATATCCATTCTTCTTACTTGTGTTTACTGCAGCTAAATGTGTTGTAAGCACATTTTCGCGGCAAATATCCCATTCGTTTTAACACCTTGAATGATATATGAATCGTTCCAAATACTACATTTCGAAATTTATGAATTTATTTTCGGTTGCCAATAAAGGTGTACTGAACTTTATCCTATATTTTTTGTATATGGAATACTTCTAGCCAAAAATGATCCTTTTATATGGATAACTGTAGTGTTCCCACTTATCAGACGAGGAAAATTCCATGGTTCGTATACTTTATTTTATGTATTTTGATAAGTGAAATAGAAGAATAAATAATTATATCCTGTTCCCCGTTGTTACTAATAACAGTTCATTAACATGATCATTCATCATAAACTTTTTAATTCGGCCATTAGGGCTGACAAATTCTTCACCTCTGATATTTGTTCCTTACTTTCCATATCCTAAAAAACTTCTTTGAGAAAATATGTTAAATCAAAAAGACTCCTGAAACCATATATTCTACCAAATCAGTGGATTATACAAACAAAATTAATTTGTACTAGTGCAAAATTTTCTGTAATATGGCTCTTGCATAACGTTAAAAAAATACTTTAACAGGAGCTTCGTAAGCGAATTGTATTCCTTCGGCAGGTCCATTACAATGATCAATAATAGGATCAATCAACGATTCATCCACAACTTCAATCCCTGCAAGAATGAACATGAATAACGATTTATTGTAATCCACTCACAAAAATTTTCTGAAAATCAATATAACCCCAGTCATTGTCCTCGTGCGTTACTTTTTCTTCGATTTGTTCATTCTCCTCGGCTTCCCTTTCAATTACAGCTTGCTGCAATTATACAGATTGATGATAAATGCATTGGAGTCAAAGATTTATAAAAATTATTGCAAATAAAAAAACGAAAGCATTTTGATCTCGAAAAGTTGTTTCATTGATTACTATGATGAGAAATTAAAAGTTCATACTTTGCACTCTTCTTGTCTTTGTCGACAGAAACGATCTTCACAGCTTGGATTCGGTAACATTTGATGTCGAGGAAAGAAATCACAGAGAGCATTATATCCCACGCAGTAAGATACTTCACCGAAATTTAGGAGGAACCTGATTTATTAACATATACATAAAACGAGTTTAGAACCAATGTACAAGACTCAATAAGCAATGCATACTTCAAAGCATTTTGCACTAGCAAGCCGGCAACGACGGCCATTGTGGTGGGTAATGACGCTGCACAAACTCCTTCACGTTTTAGAGTGCGCTCGTTAATATTTGAGGCAACTACCAAAGGAGGTACACACTAAAACATTAATGAAGCATTTAACTTCCCAAAGTATAGCTTAAACCACTTAAACCATGAACTAATTAAAAAAAAAATTGTTCATGAATTAATATCGAACTTAATGAACAAAAAATTGTTCATTAATTATATATGAATTAATATTCCTAAAACATTTTTGGCAACAACACGGAAAATATTACAGCAAAGCATGCACTATGTCCAGGACGCATACATTGCACATGACCAGATACTGCGTTTTCGCTGACACCAGATTCCATCCATATCTGATTCTCTTCGTTGCAAGCCTGAAAACAAAACGTAAATGCTATCAACGAGAGATACATCCAATTTATTTTAAATGTCAGTGACAAGTAAGGAATGGAAAAAGAGTGAACTATAACATTGACGAAAAAATTAAAGTGGTTATACGTACAGTATTAATAGTCATTCTAGCTTCGAAATTATCCACACAACTGAGAACGAGTTCAACCTTTTCATCGGTAAGACTTCCCTTCCTACAAATAATTTGCAAATTTTAATTCGCTATGAGATTTCAGCATAGAGCTGAAATCTCATAGCGTGTTAAATGTTATTGTTTTAGTACGTAAATTAACAGATATAATGTCATAAATTTCAATTCTATGCTAAAATTTTAGTACGTAAATCAACAGACATTATGCAGTTGCGAGAAACAGAAAAAAAATATTCTAAAGATACGTAACAAAACAACATTATCCTTCGTTTGAGAAGTTTCTGGAGAATAATCTTATATCGTGTGAGATTTCGCACAGTTAGTGTCTGGATGATTTAGCAGGATGTTCACTTAACTAACTCTAAAGTTCTCTATCCCTTAACTTGAAAAGAAAATTTATGACAATATCCAAAAACAAAAGAGAAACGGTGCAGATCCTCTGTGAATTCTTCATGCTTGAATTTCCACGCAATTAAATTTCTTTGAACAAGAAACAAAAAATACCTAATTCGGTCAACAAAGAGCGAATAGTTCTCTACAGTCGTTATATTCGCATTATACGTTTCGAAATCTACATCAGGATTGATTGTTCTGAAAATAGAGACAAAATCGATAATAAAAGAGAGGTAATGCATGGATAAACTAACAGCATATTTCATGCTAGTTACTTTCATAACAGCAAACTCACATGAGAGTGTTTCGTGCTGCGTCAACTTTACTCATACCAGAATGCTGCGGTTGATAAAATAAACGATTCATATTAGCAAGCTCTACCTAAAATCTATTAGTATTCTCACAACTTCCACATCAAATTGAATATTACTTTTCTTTTTTCAGCAAAGATAACAGTAAATAACGTTTTTCCTCATTGTGCAAGGCTAAACCACGAATCAGCGAAAATAGTCCTCATTGATGATACAAACACGAAGTTAGCAAAGTTAAATAAGTACCCTACAAAATAATTTCTTTCACGTTTTCTAAAAGATCTGATTTTTATCGTCACAAATGAGAATATATACCTTATCATAATCAAACAATATAAGCTTTCCAATGCCACATCTTGTCAACATTTCAGCAACAACACTTCCGACACCACCAACACCTACTATCAGTACTGTTTTTTTCCGGATATCATCATAATTTTTCACAATACCCATTTTTTTCAAAGCCATCAATCGACTGTATGGATTGGAATCATTTACTTCGGCACTCATTACATCTGCATTATACAATATAAAATGATCGAGGATGAAGCGGTCATGAAAAAACAATTCATTTGGTTACTATTAATGGGGTGGATATCAACAATAATATATGAAAATTATAGCGCTGTAAAAATATGAAACAGAATGAAAAGGTATAAAGTTTAGGGATAGTGAGAAATTCTAGTGACTCTAATGGAATGAAATGGCAGTTTTGTAGTTAATCTAGTTAAATGAAATGCAACTATGAGAAAGCCAAAAAACAACTAACCGATTTTGGATCGTTTAACTGTAGTATTCATATCCTTCGTATTATTTCTCTTTATGCATATCAAGTCAGCTCCTACCGCTAATAGCCTGGCGTGTAATGCATCCAACTGTTCCGACAAATTTGTCGACATTGGTCCTTTAATATATAATAGAACATAATCAACTGATACAAAATTTACAATAATAAAAGAGAATGATATATAAACCATCCAGAAGATAATCAAACTAGTAAATGAATGATAAGCAGACAAAAACAAATTTTTAATTTTTAAAACAAAAAAATAATTTCTAAAACATAACAAAAATCTAATTTACTAAATTTTTGTCCGTTATCAATGAATACATGCGTTAATGAAAGATTAATATTGTATAAAGACGTGAGATGAAAGGAAATATAATGCTAATTCAACAAATGAAATTGCAAACACAGCTAATAGACAACGAGAAAATCTTTCTACGAGACTGTATCAATGACTTAAGCCCGAATTGGCTTTTATCAGTCGGCCTTTCCTGGCTGGTGGTATGTTCCGGTTAGGCTGGTAGTCGAACTTAGATCGGGTTATTGACGCTTTTTCATTTCACAACAGTAGTTTTTGCAGATATAACAATGGTTTATAAACGAATGAATTCGAAAGAGTTGAAAGGAATGAGTGAGAAGATCGATTATTATGATTCGAGTGATGAAGAGGTTAGATGTGATACGGATTTATAATTCGTTTTTTAGTTCCCTTTTGATTCACTTGTAGAATTGTTCTCTTAAAAGAATGTATGAAATGATAAAGAAGGAACTTCGAAAATGATTATGATTTATTTCAGGATCTGAGGAATACGATAGGTAACATCCCAATCTCTTGGTATGATGGTCTCGATCATATCGGCTATAATAAAGATGGAAATCCGATCAAATCGACTGAAAAAAAAGATAATATGGAAGAATTCCTCGATAGGATGGACGATCCTAATTACTGGTTGGTTATGTATATTTTCTTTTTCCAAACAAATTGCATGTTTGTTGTTTATGCAAAAGTATTAAAATTAACTTTTAAATGTCGTTGTTTTGTTGGATCTCATTATTTATAGTATCTCTTTGAATGTTTAGAAAGACTTATATACGAAGAAAATTATTCAGGAAAAAAGTTTTCGATCGGCAAAGCGGTGGTTTTGTTACTTTAAGCGATGAAGAAGTGAAAAAGCTAAATGCACTGAATGCCTCAAAATATCCGTCACTTGGTTACAATCCATATCAGCCATTTTTGGACATCTTCTCTTCACAAACAGAAATTCATCCAATATCGAATCGTCCAGATTCCAAACGTTCATTTATTCCTTCATTGGATGAAAAGCGTCTTGTTGGTCAGTTTTTTTAGCAAGTTGTAAGATTACTTCAAACTAATTACTTTCTCAAATTTGTTCTGAAGCTAATTACTTTCTCAAATTCTTACACGCCACGCTTTTCATAGACTTTTTTTTCAGGGAAGATGGTGCACGCCATCAAAATGGGTTGGGTACGGCTATCTCGACCAAAGCAGATTGAAAAAAAGGTATGATTAGAATACGTAGATGCCGTCTGAAATATTTTTTCATTTCTTTTTCTAAATATAGGTTTATGACTTATGGGCGGATGATTCGTCCAGCGAAAAAACGAAAAGTGAATTGGCTAGGATACGAATGCATTTTCCTGCACCAAAAGTTTCTTTACCGGGACATGCTGAAAGTTATAATCCGCCGAGAGAATATTTGTGTGATGAGGAAGAACTGAAGAAATGGGAGGTTAGCAGAATTTCTTTGTCAAGTGATTTTCTTCTAATATGTATTTTTTACATTTCTTGCTGGCATAGCTTTATCATAATTTTTAATCTGAAAAAAAATTAGGAAATGGATCCAGAAGATCGGCAACTGGACTTCGTTCCAAAAAAATATGATTGTTTGAGAAAAGTGCCAGCATATGATCGATTTTATAACGATCTTTATCAGCGATGTCTTGATTTATACTTAGCCCCACGACAAAGGAAAATGAAGGTATTTTAATTGACATGTTTTGATAAATTTTTTTAAAGCAAAAAAGTCGTCTTTTAATTGATATATATATATCATATATATATACATATATATATATATGTATAATCTTTTTCAGTTGAATGTTGACCATGCGGAGTTGCTTCCTGAACTTCCTAATTTAGCGGAAATGCGTCCTTTCCCAACGACACAAAGTTTCGTAAGTTTTACTTTTTTATTTAATGCCATTAAATAAAAGATGTTGATGAATCTTCATGACATGGATTAGTTTCCAAATCTAATTCATTTTGTTAATTTTTTTAAAGCGTATACTTGGTCATTCCGGGCAAGTGAGGAGTTTGTCGTTTGAACCTGAATCAACGGAAATCTTTGCATCAGGTGGCGAGGATGGAAAGCTACGACTGTGGTCTATATGTGATGGGAGATGTCTCAAAGTACTGATTTTTATACATTTTTTTAAAACAGATTTAACCAACGCAATAGAAACTCTTAAAATGTTTTTATAAGCTTAAAAACTTGGAAATAAGTCCAAGAGTATATCGATTAATATGCACACATCAATTGATTTTTAAATTTCAGTTATTGTTAGGTATTTTTTAGAGTTCTTGCTCACATTATTACTTAAACCATATTTATATCACTACACACTTGGTGAACATCTATTAAGCCTCACAATAGGAAGTAGTAAACATGTATTTTTATAAGTTTTCAAGGGATAATAATCCTTCTACTCCGATTATATTATATTCATTTTTTGTAATGAAAATGCAAACATTGTAGACAATAAACTTGGAAGGTCCAATAACTAGTGTGGCTTATTGCCCTCTTACGAACTGGACACTTTTGGCTGTTACAATGGAATTGAATAAAATGATTTTGACAAATTCTTACTGTGGAGATCGCCATCATATCACAGCTACTACGGAATATTTATCAAAACTTCGATGTGAATCTTCAGAAAGTGATACTTTAGAATGGAAATATGAGGGAAAAGGAAAGATGTCAATTGATCTTGGATATGTAGGTTCTACTTCGAATTTCTCCATTATAATGTCTGCATACGTTATTTTTTGTTTCGGAATAATAATGCCGTAATATAATCGTCTCAAATCCCTTTTACGAAATTCAAGATTTTTTCATTCATGTTGAAGTTAGCACAGTTAATTATTGAGTGTAATGTAATTCGTACTGCAGTTACATTTACATTGCAGGATGCAATTACGTTGAGAGTATATTATATTTTATTTTTTAGGTTGCACGTCAAGTAGTATGGCATCACAAAGGCGATTATTTTGCAACGTTTGCTAATTCGAAGTCGCCGAAACTTATTTATATACATCAACTTTCAAAATGTAAATCTCAGGTAAGCAATAATCCTTGCGATGGGTAAGATAAGATCTGATTGTCGAAAGCTTTGAAATTTCGGAGTTTCAGCTTAATGACTTCTTGAAATAATCTTATTAATTTTCAGCGACCCTTTTCTCGCTTAAAAGGCCTTATGACAGTATTATCATTCCATCCATGTGAGCCTCTTCTGTTTGTTGGAACACAAAGGTATATACGAATGTATGATTTGTCAAAGTGTCAGCTGAAAAAGAAGATCATGACCGGATCACAATGGGTAAGCTCCATGCATGTCGACTTTCGAGGTAACAATGTGTTTGTTGGCGGCCACGATAGGATTTTTTCATGGATCGATTTGCAACTTTCTAGTAAGCCATGGAAAAGTGTCAAACATCATACAGCTGCTATTCGCGCAGTGACACAGCATATAAGGTTTGCTTTCAGTTCTCATTTTTTGTAATGGGAAGATAAACCTAAATGACGAAGTGATGTTGTACCTATGTTGAGGCATAATTATCTCATTGGGCTCTTATCTCCTAAGAGTATGTAGGTTTTTTAGATCCACTCCTGAAATATGAGAAATATTCCTTTGTTTATTGCATCTAATACATTTCGAATATACATTACTTTGTATCTCATTAACCCGGTGGTTAACGGAAATGAGAAGGATGTCAGTGAATTTAATGTCATATATCTCGGAACACTGAAGATTTGAAACTTTGTTTCCTCTCATGAAGCGGAAACAATGTCTTAGACGGATGTTTGTTAGTCATAATCCTTCATCTTGATTTAACAAACTTCAGAACATAGTTCAAAATATTTTAAGGATGTTAGATTTGTCAGCACCCACATTGCTTTTTTTTTGAAGTTACCTGCTGGTATGAGAAAGGAAGTGCATGCGCTTTTAAATTATTTGATAAATATAATTTTCAACATTTTGAAAATAGACTTTTTGATAGCTTTTTAGTTTCTTGGTTTTTCAGGTATCCATTAATAGCAACTGTATCTGATGATTCAACCGCACTTGTGTATTATGCCCGAATCAGCAGTGATCCATTCAAAGAGAATGAATTCGTGCCAGTACGAAGGTTACGTACTCAAACACCTCAAAGAAATGGTCTTTCAATTCTAGCCGCAATATTTCATCCCACGCAACCGTGGTTGATAACTGCACATGTTGATGGTTCAATTGCTTTATTCACTTAAGCTAGTTAGATAATACAATGATGGAAGTTTTTTCTAATTTGCTTACCATTAATTGTCAAATTCTTCCGCAGTAAAACTCACTAATAATGTATCGCAGATGTTTATTCGCCACGTTATTCAATTGATTAATCTGCGCTCAGCTGCTGTGAAAGCTTGCTCATTGAGAGATAGTTGTCTTTGTTTATTGCTGAAATTTTGTTAACTTGGTCGTTGTATGTTCAAAAGCAAAGTTTTAAAAGAGGCTGACTATTAAACTAACATTAAACTAACATCGAAACACTACTAAAAGTTTTGTACATTGCGTTTTATGTTTTATGTTGCATTTGTACATTGTGTTTATGTTTAGGTCAGAAAATCTTGATCTTTGCTCGCATTTAATACTTTGTCGTAAAAGGAACATAAATTTCATTATGGACAACACTGGAACTAAGAAATAACGTTTCAACAGAAACAACTAAACGGTGAAAGAAACAACTATTAACAAAATATGTCTATGTTTGATCGAAATCCAAGCGAAGAGTTTTGCAGTGCATTGATCGAAGGACCCTATACTTAGGTGAAATAAATGAATTTTTATTCATTTGGAATTCTTTAGCATATTGGCTGATACTGTGCAGCTTTTTCATGAACATAATCTACACAATAAGGACAGCAGTAGGATCTCGTTAGGATTTAGTATGACTCAAAAGCTAGAGCTTTGTTCGATTATCGTCAGGTTAAAGCTTCGGATTAATTGTTGTGAGGGATAGCAAATTTGGTGATACTTAACTCTTAATATTTTTTTTTATAATTCCCTGTTAGCCTTTGGAATACATAATGAGCAACAACAATAGCCTGTATGGCTGTGACAGTAAGAAGAAGACCAAAAATAGCAAGCAATGATGTTTTGGCCATACATAGCTGTCCTGGTAGAGCAGTTATTGTCATCTTCGGTTCCTGAAAATGATTTTTTTAAACATTTTTTTTTTGCTTAGACGTTGTATGATTGTGTTAAAAAATAAAAAAAAAATGTAAGTCAGACTTCTTGCATAAGGTCGAAAGTTTGTGATCGTGCAAGGGCCGCTGATTCGGCAACTTGTTGAAGAGGATCTATCACTATTAAGGATGTTGTAGCTTGAGCGCGTTTCGGGATTCTATACCTTTCCGTTTCATCTGAAAAATTAATGCATGAAGGATAAAAAGTTTAAGTGTGTGGAAGTCATTTTGAAATATGATTTCTAAGTGACGGAGTAGACCTGCAACCACTTGATACAATATGTTACACTCTTTCAAACGTGACTATTTTTGTTACTGAAATATGGAATAGTAAATTGGTGTGATTACACTTGTCATAATGAGGTTAGTGTTTGCATCCAGATAACAATTAGTCAAGCGATTCTTGTAAAATACCAGGAAAACCAAAACGCGAAATGAATCCACTTAACCCGCCCAGCAACATTGATATTCTTCACTTACAATCAGTAACTGAATTGGTAGTACTGCGCTTCTTTCTACCCCACGATTGTTTTTGTTCTTTGCCTAGTTGACACGTCACCTTAAAAATAAATTTAATTGAAATTTTATTTCATAATATTTGGTGAAACGAGATTCGTGGATAAACCTTAAAAAACATTTCTAGCTATCTTATTTATTGTAATTAAAGCCTAGAAATTTAATATATATGATATATCACCTCTTTGCAGCTCTTCATGCAAATATCCAGATGACATGTTATTCTGACAACACTAGACGAATCAAATCGAAATGCTTGCATATTTGCTATCTTTACTGAGGAGGATATCACTTCTATCGGGTCAGGCATAATTTTCTGCGATACAGCTGGTGTTGGACAACTTAAATGGCAGCATTAACAAATGATAATAGAAATAATATTCAATATTAAACTGAATATTTTCAATGTTAAAAATAGTTTTATTTAATGGATTTCGAAAAAAAGAAATATTCATTAGGTGTAATGCAAATTGATTTTATTATTTCTTTATACCAAATTTCGATCAGCTTTCTTTTTTTTGTAAATGTAGCATACCCATTTGCAATGAGCTGTAAATTTTCTTCTGCATTTAAAGTAGCAGTTCCTGGTTCAGCAAAACAATCTCGAACGAAGAAATCAAGTTCTTCATCCATTGTCATTATTTCCCAACGCAATTGTAGGATGTCACCCAGTTTGGCCTAAAAAATGTGGCAAAATTCACAATGTTTTCTTTTTCAGAAAATGAATGCTATCAAGTATGAACTACATAAATGAATTACAAAGTAAATCATTTAAAAATCAGCACTTGTAGAACAGGTTGATACTCTCCTTGTCCGCTCAACATTTGCATCAGCACTGGATTGCCAAGTTCAATTTTTCCTCGTGGTTGAATAAGGGATGCTTCGGGACCACTGAAATTTTTTGTTAAATGAACAATCTTTCATTCTATCTGAAGTAATTGAAGTACCATAAGGAGTTGACCTTTGAAGTGCAAAATTACTTACTTAATTGTAAGATTAGCACCAGCAGTAACTTTTCCACCAAGCATTGAACTGTAATCACAGCTCACTTCAAAAATCTGATCCATAGAAGTTACCAGTCCAGGTATACCTAAATTATTCGTCTGGACAACTACCGTTGACTTGTAAGTACCATTGTTCTGAAAGCACTGTTATCAGGAATGAAAATAATTTTACAGTTCCTTTCGATTTCATAACCGCAATTCATCCGCTCACTCTAGAATTATTTAAAATGGTAGCAAGTTATCTAACTTGACTTGTTAAGGATCACAATCATCATCTTATATGTTGCACACTAATTCCGTGCTGAACAGAACCAATAAAAGAATAATGAAGTTCGTAGGCTATTGTAGAGAAGTTATTGTTTAAATTGCATTTACAACGCACCATATCTTGGATTCCGCAATCTCTTTGTAGTTCGGCAGCCTGTCGCTTTATACGCAATTCATCCGCTGGTTTATCCAATTTATCACTTCCGGTTATTGCTTGTTGGGCATGCGCCTGATCAGTGACAATCTTTTCGTTAGTTACCATTTTTGAACCAAAATTAGGTGGTAAACCAATTACTAACGTTGCACTTTCACTGTCCGTAACCTCTACCCGACAGGTTTCGTATTTGTTTTTAGCAAACATCACTCCCGAGAATGCCTCTGCATTTCTCACCTGCAATGTGACGAATTTCAGTATATTTTTCAATGCATTATAATTGAAAAGTAAGTAATAAGTTAGCACTGCTATGTTAAACATATTATTAATTTAATTAAGAATAACCTGCACTTTGATGCCTTCGTAATTACAAATTGTTTGCAATGCATTCGCAGCGATTTGTACAACAGGTCTTTGAAGTTTTCCGGATGAAGAAATGGTCAGTTTTGCATCAGCTGATGATCCCGCACCACTACTTACTTTTTCTGAAGGCGCAACTGCCTTACTTATAGTTTCTGGAGCTCGTCGTTGCGCTTCTTGTTCTCGTAGGAAAGGCTTTGTCTAAAAGGTTTTATTCAATCAATTCTGAACTAGCTCACTCTAATTAAAGAAACTGTAAATGAAAAAGTTTACTTTTGCTGCAATAATATTTGTTTTAGCTTCTTGTTTGTGAGCAATTAACGAATCTGAAACATTCTGAAGGAGATGCTTGGGAACATTGGCAGCGGCGCTGTATTCTGATTCTACTTCTTTTACCACACAAAGATTTTTGTAAAAGTCTGTGAAATCATTTGGCTTTCCATTCCCTTCAATCTTATCAAACAGTTCACACCGACCATTCCTTCTGTTGTAATTTACACCTTCGCAACTAAATAAGTTTGATCATTTTAAAGCACTTACATTTTTGCTTATTGCATGCTGGCAATAGTAAAATTACAAAAATTTCAATTTGACTTTAAAATAAGATTGATTTTGAATTGAATGACTTTATGAAAAAGTTTAGGAAGAATATGGATAAATGAAATGAAATAAAATCACAACAAATATAAAATGGACCGTTCGGAAGATGAACAAAGATTAAGACAATTTGTGAGAGCAGTTGTTTCGTAGAATTGTGATGGTACTGCATCATATATACTATATAAATATCTCGAAAATCGTGTTACATCATTTTGCTCTGTGCAAACTTTTGCTTCTGGAAAACAGATAATGATTTTTTGATCTTATCTTTATTCTTCAGATAGCTATAGATGTATAATTGTTGAGTGATTTGACAAATGTTACCTTTCGGAAATTGTTTACATTTACATATATGTACTACTTTTTAATATTTTTTATGATTTTTTTGAATGTTTACTTTCCAGAAAACTCAGTAAAAAATGTTCTTTTTCTTATTTGATATAACTCGCTCTTTCTTTCATTTTTATAAAATTAAAATTTATGAATTATTTCAAAACAAATGTATTCCTTAAAAAATTGAAACATTAGCATATATGATTAAAATGAACGAAAATGTATTTCGCCTTTTCAAATGGCTAATTCACTCGTAGATTTTGATGTAGTAAATTTATGTCAAAGAATTTAAGATCGTTCCTCTCCCCGTTCTTGTTATTTACGCTGTACAAGTGATTATCTTTCCTTCTCCCTCTAACCCATTCATATTATGCTTTTCAATAATGAATAATTTGAGCCTATCTGTATCACACATAAATTGGTGAAAGAGAATTTTCAGAATGCTTCTTACGATTAAGGCAATGAAGGTCGTAGAGATCAATGCCCGAATGAACTGCAGGTCGTAAGGTTGTTTTCCCATCAACATATAACAGATCACAATCAGATGTCTGCTTATCAAAATTGAATGCCCGACATTTCTCAGGAGCCATTTCGTAACATCTGAAATCAACAACAACAGTAATGATAATAATATTCTCACTGAAATTGAAAACATTACTACCATCCCATATTATTACAATTACAACGCAATTTATCATTCGCATAGTTTAGCATCTATTTTAAAAATGCGATTTAAAGATAAAAAGCTAATCTGATTTGCTAAAAGCAAACTTTGTCATGCAATCAGCAAC